TCTTAGAGAGAAAAGTTTTTTAAAAGTAAATACATCCAGTCCCAAGCTGAAAAACGAAACCAAATAAGTATAAATTTATTAAAATTGATTTATTATCTTCGCCAGGGTTATTTATTTTTATTATATATTTTATGATTCGTTACGAAAAATTACGAATATATGGTAAGGCGTCCTAAGATCGCGCAGTAGTGCGCACTCTTATGGTATTTTACCTTGTATAGTAAATTTTGTGCAACAAAAGGCATGAATTGAAAATAATAAAAATACAGGCAAAGAAAAGCGTAATAAAACGCAATAAACGTACAAAAAACACTCAAAGTTCTGAATCGTTCGGCACAGAGTCTGGGTATAGTGTAGTTAACAAAAGCGCGCTATCAGGCGATAACGTACAATTGTTGAAATCAAATCGGATATTCAGGTTCAATAAGGTTATTTAATTTCCTGGCTGGGATCCGAAAATCATGAAAAAATCCTGGACTTTTTGTTTTAGGCAATTACAAGTCCCTGGCGGATAGGAAACTGGTACAAAATAAATGGGAACTTGATATTTTATAAAGAAAACCCACTTAAACTACAGTGAAATATGCTGCGGATAACCAAATCGATACTGAGATGCGTCAATGAATTTTTAGATTTTTTCTGTGAATATTTTTCCATAAAATTATGGTTACATTTCGTGAAGGAGTATTATTTTTTCTAATATTTTATATATTTAAAGTTATAGACTACAAATTTTAGTGCGTCTCGTTTGGGTTAAAATTAAACTGTTTTATTGGGGCCGTTCTTTAAGTTACCGGGTTTGGTACTTTACGCATTTGCTGATGACAGATTTATTGTCCTACTCAGCTTTGGTGTATGACCGCTATAGGTTCGAATTGGAAGTTTTGTTTTTTTTTGTTGTTTGTATTTTTTCTTTATTATTTTGGGGTGTTTGGTTAGTATTGTCTTTCTAATGTTTCTATTGTTACTGATGGTTATTATTTTTTTCAGGAGTTAATGTAAGTAATGTGCCTCTCTTAGGGTTTTAAAGGTATCTGTCGTGTTTAATTTTGCAAATTATGTGTTCGGTCATGCATATGGATACTTATCAGTTTTTGCGGATGGCCTCTTCCTAAATAGTTTCTCAACGCCAATATTTGAAAAGTTTATATGAACATTGTACTGACCTTTTAATTTCGCCGGCAGTAAACTATAACTTAAATTCGGGCACGGACTTCACTGTAAAGTGCTCATAAAGCATTTTCTTTACTTTCACTGTGAAAAACTGTCAATTTTCAAGAAATACATTTCGATTTATAACCTTTATAATCTGTGTTTATAAAATTTGACATTTGAAGGTGACACACAGATTCCCCTATTGTTTCATAGATGGCGCTCTATACAAATTTTTGATTTAAATTATTTTAAGATAATAATAAGTATTTGTGGTAGAAAAAGTATAGTATGCACCTCGTTTATTAACTTTTTTATACCTATAAAATGGCGTTTATCAAACTTGATACATATTATACTATTCAATTGTTATTTCATGAACCTTTGAAAACAACGAAATAAATTTAAAAAAAATAATAAAGAAATATGGAAAATTTAAATATGTAATCATAAAACCATTGTTAACATGCTAACAAATAATAAGCTTAAATATTTTCATTAAAATGTTTTTAAAAAGCAAATCCACATTTTAAAATCATTAATTAACGTTTTTTCATTATTTCACTAAAAACATTTGCTATTAACACAAAATAAAAGCCCAACATAGATTTTTCATAAATGAAATAAATTTTAGGTAATATAAATACCATTTTAAAATACTGCATTTAAAAGCCCAAAACCTAAGCTTTTTTAATCTTTATAGCAAAAAATGTTTATTTTCCAAATTATTTTATTAATTTAACAAATATTTTACTATTGAAACTACCCAAAAGCAGAAAAAACGCGTTTTTACATAACGACATATTTTTTTTCATAGAACCTGTTATACCATACAAAAGTACTAATTTTTTCTTAAAAATCCTTTTTAAATGTTTTCAATATATTTTTTTCTTAGTTGAGATTTACGTTCAAAGGTTGATTTAAAATTTTTACACAAATCAAGTTATTAATATCAATATTATTCAATTCATCCAAATTGGCAGGGTGTGTTTTAAAAACCCTGTTTTTTAGATGTACCCATAGGAAAAAGTCCAAAGGTGTTAGATCTGGTGATCTTGCTGGCCATTCCATAAAACCTCTTCTTCTGCCCAGTACCTATCTGCAATTCTGCCTATTTACCCCGAAATTGGAAAAAATGTTGATTCATCAGAAAAAAGAATATTTGCAAAAGAAATAACATTCCTGTTAAACATATCCACCAAAACACTAGATTTTCACAAAACGGTTAAACCTAACAGCAAATAATTTTTATTTTTTAAAATTTCAAAAAATTTTGATTTGCTTAACTAAAATAATGCGTGATTTAATATTTGTTAAACCAAAAAGGTTACTTTTTTACTACACAAATGTTTATAAGGTCATGTACTTTTTCTGCCATTAAGGCATTTGGCATAACTTCACCGAAATAGATATTATATAATAGGTAACAAGTAAATTATCCAAATAAAAATAATGAACTTTAGTCTTTTTTTAATTTGGGATGAAACTTTCATTTCAATTTCAATTTAGTCGATATAATCGATATAATTTTATTATATCAGGAAAACCCTTCCAAGATACCTCGTTTCGACTTTTATACTTCTACGACTTTAATCCTTTTTACTTTATAAACCAATTGCCTAAGTACCAATATTCTCCATTCTATCCTTTTTCTCCCGATAAGTAACTCAAATGAACTCTAATAATACAAAATGTATTTCCCTCGGGAAAATAAAAATTAATCACAAAAGTTCAAATCAAATATATTTTAGAGTTTAAACAAGATAATAAACTATATGTATATACATATCTCGATAATTTTCAATGTAATTAAGTTTTCTACATCCTAGTCTGTAAAAAAATCGTTAAAACCGATCAAAAACTATTTGCTTTACTTTTTTATAAATATAAAATTAAATGTACCTAATATATTAGGTATAGGAGCAATGAAAAATACTGTGACTGAATATGTAATACCAAGTCATTTTTCCTGGGATTTAAAATAAGTCTTTGTTTATTCTGTGGGACGATCACGGTGTAATAAAGTGTGGCATTATATCAAGGTGTCCCTTTTTGTGGCTTTATTATACCTTGGCTTTATTCTAACACTTGGTTTAAGACACCTCTGGTCATTTATACGAATTTTCAGTGCCTATTAGAAAAAGAGCATTGCGTTATAAAAGTTAACCTATATAAATGGTTCGTGATATTGTTTTATGGGATTTTAATTTTGATGGGGCAATTAATTTTAGTTAGAAAATAATTTAACACAAGGTTCTTTTTTCGTAACACTGGAATGTCTAGTCTCTTTAAGGTAACTTAAAAATATAATTTTATTTACTTTTTATTAAATTCATCGACAGCTGTTAGCAGACGAAAGGTTCGATACGGCTAAAATTCACACATATTTTTTAGACATGTTTACCAACAGAATAAAAAAATCGGACTAATACAACTCGAGAAAACGTCTATCTTTTCGTTATATGGTACATATTTAGTAAGGCAACTTTCCTTATATTTTAAAACACATTTCAACTCTCTAAGCTAGTTAGAGCGGATTGATCCAGCTAAGAAGTACATAGAAAATAAATTGCAGAAATTAAATTGGTATACGAGGTGTGTTCAGAAAATATCGGGAATTTTCGTTTTTTGAAACAAATATTTATTTATTCGTCTACACTTATAAAACTCGCTCTTTGGGATAGCCTTTAGTTCTTTCAGCGATGCGCTTTTAATGTCATCTATGCTTGCAAAACGACGGCCCTTTAAGGTTCTCTTTATTTTTGGGAATAGGAAAAAGTCAGACAGAGGCATGTCTGGCGAATATGGGACCTGGGGCATCATTACAGTATTTTTTTTTTTCCAATAATTTTGTTCAAAATTTAACAATTTTAGAACAAATTTTGCTGCCACGCGTTTCATACCCAAAACATTCGAAAAAATTTCATGAGATGAGCCAATCGATATACCAACATCATCAGCGACTTCGCTGATGGTTTATAACCATTTCTTCCACTTTTTCCATGTTTTTATAGGTTGTTAATGTGCTTGTGCGTTCGGGGCGTTCGTCATCTTCAACGTCTTCACGGCCATCTTGGAAACTCTTATACCACTTGTAAACTCTTGTTTTACTTATAGCAGACTCACTATAGGCCTTTGTGAACATTTCACAGAATTTATTTAATTTCTTAAGCAAAATTGGATACAAATTTCTTTGATCCATTTCTTTTAACAAACGAAATTCGCCGAGCTCATAAAACACGCCTAACCTTAGCGGCTGCCACAGACAAAGTAAACAATGAAAACAGCTAAAGTTTTTATCATACTTCGGGGGCATGTATACCAACATAATAAAGAAATTTAACAATTCCCGTTATTTTCTGAACACACCTCGTATGTAAATAAAAATTTCCAAGAATACGAAAAACATTGAACTCCCTTTTTCCCTTATCCTTATTTCCTTATATTCACCACGATAATTTTATTATTCAGCGTAATGTTATTTCAACCCCAGCGAATATTCGGGAAGGCTTAATAAAAGTGGAAACTAGCAGTGGAAGCTGTTTAATGTGAAATAAATCTTTACAATGATATTTTAGCGAAACTACCCAGATGGCAGTTTTTTAAGTTCTAAAGGGTATCTTAACAAGAACTTTGAAATTAAAAAAAAAGGATTTAGATTAACTTTTTTAGAAATTATAAGATAATTTACTAACAACTGTTTCTGCATCTGTTAAGATAATTTGCTAATGACTGTTTCTGCATCTGTTTTTATATTTAAAATTATTAATAAAACCTATTTTATATACATAAAATTGTGCAACCAAAATACAGTTAAATTAATTAAAACTTTTTCCTGTCTGTTACAGATATGAATTTGGATACGCGAAGGATAACCAGCTTAATTTTCTGGATTTTATTTGGAGTTTTATTGGGTAAGTGAATTTTTATTACGTGTGTTACAAATTCCGCATGCATATATTCCAGGTTTATTAGCTAACCTGGTTTAACGAATTTTATTTGAAAGAGTTTGTCTAAGTGATACGGGGGTACAAAATCAAGGAGAGTAGTAGTGGAAAAAGTTTTTTCCTGATAAGTGCATATATTGGACAAAAACTTCAAAATCACTTCAACATCAAAATTCTCCTGTCATTTATTTTTGTAGTCAGGCTAATTAGGCAAATTGATTGGCTTTGAGATCTTACTTTCCTCTTAAAATATCCAATTAGCAGAACTGTTTGGTAAAACAAACTTAAAAGATTCAAATTGCATGTTCTTTTGTTTATAAAAATAAAAATAAGCTATATTCTGTAGACAGAAAACATTACGTTTCGTACTTGTGGTAGCCAGAAAAGTTATATTAAATTTAAAACAAACAAAGTTAAAAAACATTTTAATTTAATGCTATATAAAGTATATGAAACTGTTTAAATGTAGACTTTAGTATTTTTCATAACAAATTACAACGTATAAAAATAATTATTAAAAATTACAAAAAAGTTTTGGTTTATTTTTCCAAAGAGTATTTGCATGTATGCAATATGTAACCATAAATCCCAATTTATTACGCATTGTGATTTTGTATGATTAGCTTCAGGCTATTATAATTTTACCTGAGTAATACCAGGGAATTTTTAATTAAAATTATAATCATTGGGAACTATTTAGATGTAATGGTTGCTATTAGATATATTTTTCTAAAATCTGACAAAACAAAAACTGACATAATGTCATTATTTTTACAATGTTTTAATAGTCTAAAACCTATCCTCCGTGACTGTTACTCTTTCTAGGTTAACCTATAAGTTTTCAAATATCTGAGGTAGTAAAAGCATACTAAAAATATCAGTTCACTAAGTAAATAAAACACATCCAAAGCAATCGAATCAAACCTAAAATATTATTAAAAATTAAAGGAACTAAATTTTATAACCATTTATGTAGGTGTTACAAAAAATGATTCTATCCTCCGTGACTCTGTTTTTGCTTTAAATTTTATACAACGGATGGCGCTTTAATCATTTTAAATAAGCAAAAACCTCTGTTTACGACATTATAGATGCATGTGATTCCTGAAGGTCAGTTAGAATTTATATGCAGATGAGATTGTTGCTGTTTTATAATTCAAAAGATTAAGTTTATTAATTTGCTATTTAAAAACCTATCCACCGTGTGTTGTAATATCTCAGTAAGTAGATTTTTTTTTATAAATATTTTATGTATGTACAATTGTATTTTTTAAAAATATTAAGGTGTCAAAAGATACAATAACTTATTTTAAATATACAAAGGAATGTTTAAAAAAACATACGAAATCCTAACCTCCGTGAAACTCTAATATTTAAAATGTTTGATTTCTTAAAATTTTTTTGACAAATATTTACTGTAATTTAATTAACTTTGTTTTTATAATTGATAATAATTTTAATGAAAATTTTAAATAAACTTTATTTTTATTTGGCAATAATTATGGTGGGTGTTAATTATCGATTTAAGGATTTTATTATGGAATAAATTGTATTTATTAATATTTCTATAAATTAATTAATTTTTGAGATTAAAATATTAAAATTAACATTGTTAATTTAAAATTTAATGTATTGAATTGCGCAATAAAATTGTATTGTTTAATAAAACAAATTTATTTTTAATGCTCATTAAAAGTTGCAAAAATGGCGAATGCGCCGGGATTAGTTCATATTTTTTGTTGATGATCTTTAAACTTATGAGTTTATTCCAGTGAACATTTTTAAAAGGACCAGTCAACTTAAAAAACTGTTTTCCAAGAAACATAAAAAACTATTCGTATGACCTAAAAAAAGTCAAAACAACAAAAAGCTAAACTTCCGACACATCCAGTGACGGCGCGACGCACTATGGTCAAAAAGCAGCGTTTTGCGGACAAAATTCAGTAACTTTTTTTATTACGAATAAATATTAATTTTTTCTTTCTTTAATGTGTTAAATAGAGTTGTTACGTATAATTAACTATATTTTAATCGAAAAACCTAATGGTTTTTATTTTTTTAATGCGTTTTAGATGGTAAAAAAGCATCAATTGAGGAAATAATCAAAAAACTTTTTTATTGCAAAGAAATATTTATTTTTTATTTTTTACTGTATTAAATAAGACTTATATTTAACTAAATTTTAATAAAAAAATAAAGGTATTTATTTTTTAAATGCCTTTTTTAGATGTTTTTAACAAATTATTGTCATAAAAATACCCAAAATAAAAAGTTTTAAAAATGTATTGACCATAGTGCGACGGTCAAAAACGAACTAAAAAAGGACTAAAACTGTGTGAGTATTCTTTATCAAAGGCAACTCTGATAATTATTTTTTCCGACACACACCTTGAGTTTTAATTTGTGCCGCTCTCTTTAATTAGAGCCTCACTTTAATTAGAACTCATTTCGGAAACGTTTTCTGTTAGGCTGGATGAAAAATATGTTGGCAAGCAAGTTTAATATCAAGTGATTTAAGGGAAATGCATTTAAAGCCGTGTGAGTTTAATTTTTTAGCAAAAATATTTTTTTTCAAAATCGGACATATCCCAATCGCTACAGCTCGTAAAATTATAAAAGTACTAGGCTTATTGTAACTTAGTAAGTAGCACTTGGTCACTCTTTTATAACGAAATATATGTATACACTTCTAAGGGTTATAATATAAAAAATGTTATACGCCTAAAAAAATATTTTTGTGAACAATTTTATGCAATATAACAAAAATTGTATTTTTTTAATAATTAATTATACTTGTGGTATGCACAAACGTTTAAAGATTAAAATTATTATTTTTGTTATCCATTGAAAATAAATTTTAAATAAATGTTTTACATTATATATCGAAATGATTTAAATAGTATATTAATTATTGGCTTTGCGATTTTAGGTACTTTATAAGCATGGTCAAATAAATATAAATATAAATATGTTTTCAAATAAATTATAAATTTAAATATAAATATATAATTAATGGCCAAGTTATGATAAATAATTATTAAAATATTTAAACCCTTTTATAAATTACAAGTTTTTAGGTCTATAAACTAAATTATTAATAACACAGCCACACAAAAAAAGTATATTGATTTGGAGACAAGACGCCAATTTTCTCATGTAAACAACTGAGGTGTTTTAAAAAAAATGCCGTATCTGAAAAGGAAATTTTTTTCAACTCGTAGAATTTTTTTTAACTCACTTCAATTAATTAAATTTATTATAACCTCACTTTTTACCGAGTTTAAAGATCATTATTGTTACACCTCGTAAATATAAATAAATCTGACAGTTTCATCTTAATTTTTTCCTAATAATGGAATAATGGAATAGGCAAACAGACAAATAACATATAAGATAAACAACTTTAGATTTAAGAATACATGACAAAGTTTTTCTTCATTTCAAAGTTAACCGTAGTTTTAAAAACACACCCGCTTGCAAAAATGTAATAGGGCCTTAAAGACACAAAGGGATTCGTTCTAAATGACTTTATCCTGACTGCTGTGGCGTCTGTATCCTTTTAAAGCTTATAATACATTCAAATAAAGTCTACCCGGTTTATTCCACAATTGTGAAGCGTTTGGTAAGTTGACATTTTCACCCGTTTATCATTTTATGCATCTTTGAATGGGAGCACGGAGAGAATATTTTTATGTGCGGAAAACAAAGCTTTTTCTCCTAATATACGATTTTCGATATTTTATGAGAGAAGGAAATAAATTTATTAAAGTTTTTTATTTTACACTACAATGCAAAATACGAGGTGTGTTCAGAAAATAACGGGAATTGTTAAATTTCGCGGGTTCAGAGGGTCCGGTTGTCATAAAATTTTCTTTATTATGTTGGTATACATGCCTCCGAAGTATGATAAAAACTTTAGCTGTTTTCATGGTTTACTTTGTCTGTGGCAGCCGCTAAGGTTAGACGTGTTTTATGAGCTCGGCGATTTTTCGTTCGTTAAAAGAAATGGATCAAAGAATTTGTATCCAATTTTGCTTAAAAAATGAAATAAATTCTGTGAAATGTTAACAAAGGCCTATAGTGAGTCTGCTATAAGTAAAACAAGAGTTAACAAGTGGTATAAGAGATGGCCGTGAAGACGTTGAAGATGACGAACGCCCCGAACGCACAAGCACATTAACAACCGATAAAAACATGGAAGAAGTGGAATAAATAAATGGTTATAAACCATCAGAGAAGTCGCTGATGATGTTGGAATATCGATTGGCTCATTCCATGAAATGTTTTGGGTATCAAAAGCGTGGCAGCAAAATTTGTTCTAAAATTGTTAAATTTTGAACAACATTTTTGGCCAAACACAATACTGTAATGATGCCCCAGCCTTCATATTCGCCAGACATGCCTCTGTCTGTCTTTTTCCTATTCCCAAAAATCAAGAGAACCTTAAAGGGCCGTAATGATTGAAACAATTTATTCCAATAGATTTCAAATGGTTTTTCGGGATAAAAGGATTAAATAATGCAATTGAAAAACTTAAATAATAGGGATAAAGAAAACTCTGCGACGCGTAACAAATACAAACACAAAGCTCGTTATCAAAATTCAAGGAAACTTATTAAAAGCGAATTCGAATTGTTTTGAGCGTTCAAAGCTATTGAAAACTCATAACGGCTAAAAATCGGCCGACTTTTCACGGCAGATTAATCCGGGCTCCGGAATATTACACGAGCGAAATGTGTTATAAGTGTAGCTTGGCATGTTTTTTATTGGTAGACTTTATGCACGGCGTTTCTTATTAGCTGCGAGCTTCAGAATTCAATTACCGAAATAATAAAATTTAAATTTTTAACGCTCTAGAAAGATTAAACACGTTGTTACTTTTAACGCCCCGCTAGAATTATTATCTGAAGAAGCAAAGTTCCCAGACGGGTTTAATGGCCCACTTAAAGAAACAACTTTGAAACGGGCAAACACCGAAATTTACACACATTTAACGCCATTTTTATATCGTACACAGTCCAAAGAGCTTAAAAGAACATTTTCATGATTCTTAGTGCCAACTTTTAATGTATTTCCATTGAAATGCCACTTTCGAATCTTATAATGTGAAGAAATAAGTATGAATGAATAGAATCCTCCATATTTGCCTGACATGGCTCCGTGTGATTTTTTTGTTCCCAAAAGTTATCGTTTTGTTTTATTATTATCATTTTGCAGAAAGCTAAATTTAAACAACAAATCCTATAAATTTAAGTTAGGTAACACAATGCAATGTTCATGAATTTAAGCCTACCCAACCGGCGATATAATTAACAAGGTCTCTTGTTAAAATTCATTGAATATCTTGTTAAATAACTGCATTAAAGTTTCCTTCAGCAACTTTTCAACAAACTTTACCACATCTAATGTGCTCTAGTTATATGGTCTGCGATGTGTATATTTCACCACTTGTAGATTCGGAGGCATTGGTTTCGACACACCGGCTGTGATATCCAGGTCGCCAACCAAACAACGCCGAAATGGCCAAACAAGCGGAAGACTGAAATTGACATGCATGGCATTTAATATGAAACATGATGTCGAGTTATACATTAATAATTTTAAAATTTAATATGGCTTATGTTATAAATTTTTTCTATCCCAAAATTTAACAGCCAATTCTTATGTAAAATTGTTTCCTGAATTCGAAAATGTCGTCAAAAGTTAAAAAAGTAGAACAGTTTTTGAGATATAGTCAATTTTTCATTTAATATGGAATTGACTATATCATTTTCAAGAAACACCCGCTTTCAGGAAAATGAAGATCAAAATATTTTTTTTGCCTGAATTGACTTTTGGTTGGATTTTTATAAATGTTTAGAGTTTTGTTTACTTACATTTAAGACAGGCAGTGCGCTTTTTAATTTTTTTTACGTTTTTTAAAAAAAAAATGTGTTTAGCTAGCTTTATATATCTCCACTGTTTTACCAATTTGAAATCCAAAATTTAATTCAATAAAAAAAGTTGTTATAAAAATAATTTGAAATAATATCTACTTGGTTCACAAACTTTTGACTCCAATTTTTTATTTTATTTTTTATTAAAAATTGTATGCTTTTTTTTAAATATGTATGTTCGTTAAGTTACTTTTTAAAAGAAACCATTCCGATTCTTTGTTAAAAAACAATACCATTAATATTTTCTTTTAGTCGTTGTATTAGTGAGTTAAACTCTAATTTATAAACACGTATTACTAAGTGATATTGTATAAAAATCATTTTAAGTATTTTTTTTTAACAAAAACTAAAAAAAGTAACGAAATAGACATTGGTATCACAATGGACAGGGGTACACAAAGGACTTAATCAGATAACGTAAAAAAGAAACTATATAGGGTGGTACGATTTTAGAGTAATGCATAAACAAAATCTCTTGTAGTGGTGCTCACTTGCAGAATAACAACTTAGATTTCAAAATTGTAGACACCCTTTTTCTTTGACTATAAGCTGGTGAAGGTCCCTTTTAGTACTTTTATATTGCGTGGAATTTTTGGATGTAATCTATAACATGTGTTGTAATTACAAATAATTTTAAATTGGTTAATCATAAACTACTTTTAATAAAAGCGACGGTAAATATCCACTTTGTTGTCGAAAAATTCTACTGCGTTACCCTAAATTCCATTGCGTTACTCGGTAACGCAGTGGACAAAGTTTTGTAAAACCATATTTAAAAAATAATAATAAGACATTATAGTCATTAATTACTCTCAATGAGCTTTAGTGCCCTAAAATAAACATAAACATAAAAAATAGTATTTTTTCTTACCTTTTTTTTATTATTTTTTTGAGTAACTTAGCGGACAAACAATTATTACATTCGCGTTACCCGCACCTGTTTCAACCGATATCTTCTTCCTGATTGAATAAATAAATTCAGCTGGGTAATGTGTACGTCCGAACATCATTTGTTGATCACGTGAGTACCAAAAAAGTTGCCATATATATGTTTTTTTTTTTAATATTCCATCGGTAACGCGACGGACGTAACGCAACGGAAAAAATGTCTGGGACATGAGTCAAATTTAAAAAAAGTAGATTAAAATTAATTATTTTATATATTAATAATATTAATAATAATAATAATAATAATAATAATAATAATAATAATAATAATAATAATAATAATAATAAATTAATAATAAATTATTCTGAAATAACTAAACAAACATTTTCTGAAAGAGTTTACTAAGGACTTGGTTTTTAAATCAATAAGATCCGATAACACAGCCACACAAAAAAAAAAAAAAGTCAGATACTTTTTACGAGACATATGTATTTCTATGTATTTTGACTCGCTGAATCCGAATCCGAGGTCAAAATAGGACCTTTCACGATTGGTTTTCGACATAACCTCAAAAAACCGGGTTTTCAAGTATAGAATGGCGAAACAAAGTTTCATTTTAGATTTCAAGCTGCTGAATTCATATATAGCATCAGTTTTATAATATAACTATAGAATCTAAATCATAACCTCAAAACGTAGTTGTTTGAGCGGTGCTCTGCAGGACTAAGTAAGATTTCCGTACTTTCAGGAATCGAATCCGATATATAAGTCGAGCTAGCGTTTTTTTTATGTTTTTTGGTGGTTATTTTACTCCCCGCACGTTAAAGATCCTGGCCCGATCGCAGGCGAGTCCACTGTCCTGGGGGTGATAACCCTCATACCTCCCCAGGGCTAAGTATGAGGGCTTTCTGGCTTTGATAAGGACAATGTCAACTTATCGCCAGACACACTACAGCTTCATTCTCACACCTTAACGTCCCCCTACAGGGCAGCGCGCCTTCTCTGGCTTCGTTACTGACTAGGCTGAAAGGTGAATCATTCTACACATCTCTTTTCAGAGCAGTTGTCATCACTTCCAGTACCTAGTGCAGTAGTAGTTAATGACACTGGATATTGAATTCTATCAGATAGATAAAAATTGAGAAACACTCCAGTTCGGAAATTCATAATTGAATCGTAATACCATCTCAACAGAAGTTGCAAACTTTCTTGTGTGTTGCTGTGTTATCTAGAGACTGTCTGATGAACTACTAGAAGTTTTGCTGATTTATCACCGAAAGGATGTGCTACTGTGGAAGAAGTTAAAATTCACTTACTGCAAAACGAACAAACACCAGCTCGACTCACATATCGGATTCGATTCCTGAAAGTACACAAATCTCACTCAGTCCTGCAAAGCACTGCTCAGACAATTATGTTTTGAGGTTATGTTCTAGATTTTCTTGTCATATCACAAAACTGATACTATATATGAATTCAGCAGCTTGAAATCTAAAATGAAACTTTGTTTCGCCATTCTATACTTGAAAAACCGGTTTTTTGAGGTTATGTCGAAAACCAATCGTGAAAGGTCCTATTTTGACCTCGGATTCGGATTCAGCGAGTCAAAATACATAGAAATACATATGTCCCGTAAAAAGTATCTGACTTTTTTTTTTTTTTAATTTTTAACAAAGTTATTGGAATTCAAACTTACGGACAGCGGAAGGCGGGTGTTTTTTGAAAACGACCCATATCTTAAAAACTGCTCCACTTTAATATTTTTTGACGGTATTTTCGGATTCAGGGGACAATTTTACATAAGAAATGTCTGTTAAATTTTGGGATACCGTGGTATTCCATGTTTAACCATGGTACAAGTGAAAAAGCATCCACTAATAACTATTAAATTAATCATTTTTGACTCATTCATTTTTAGAGAGTACGTCCACCATTTAAAATACACATTATTGTACATGTTTCTATAACACTAAGTTGTTATTAAATTATAGAAGTTTAGATTATTTAAATTAACATATGAGCAGTCAAATTAATAATTCAATTTTTACGCATGATGTAGACATTTCTGCTGACAAATCCTTGGCATGGTAAACTTTTCGGACTACTTAAAAGTTAAAATCTGTAATAACATCTCGAAGCAAGCAAAAAATAAAAACCCCACACAATAACATCACCGTTAGAAGTTAGAGCAAACTTTAAAGTTAAATGTGAAGGGAGTAGAAGCTTAGCTTGAAAGTGCACACTATGTCGAACAGGTGGGAAAACTTGGTAATTTACCACGAGGATTTATACTTAGTGCCATTAATATCTTATTTACACTTCCAATCTTATATGGAATTACGCAGTAATTAGGAAAAACAGTATTTTACTAAAAAAAAGATAAAAAATATTATATTTCCTATTTGTTTAATATAGAATTGCCCATTCACCATAATATACGGCGGTTTTAAAAATAGATGGTGCATTCATTCGACCTATGCCACAATTCTTAAATTATTCAAGCAAAGAGAAAACACGTACGTAAGCTACAAGATAGTTACAAACTTTTATTGTAAAATCCATACGTAAAACCTGGACTAAACAATAATGTTGTGTACTAAAATTAAATAAGGGTCCCTTCAATATGTATCAACCTTTTTTGCCCATAAAATTGAGTGATGTAGGGCTTAACCGTGATCTGTTTTTTTAGTTAATATACCGCACTTTAGTCAGCAAGTTTAGTTTGGATGTAGATAATAAAAATATATTTTTTCTATTGCAGATGCAACGTCTTCACACATTATCCTGAGCCAGGAATCAAACGTCAAACTACTAAATGAAACCTTTGCAGTAATATGCAGGGATTCAGCTGGTAGAAAAGTGGAATGGTCTGGGCCCAAAGGCGTTTTGGGTGTCATGACTAGGCCGAAAGTTGAAAATAAAATGTACGGTACCACACTGATCTTCTATGGTACCAAGGCTGAAGATACTGGTACCTACACATGCAATTCAGGGTCTGAAAAGAAGCATTATAAACTTGTTGTGGAAGGTAAGTTTGTTTTATCACTTAGATCAAAAATATACTTTCAAGAATGTTTTAACTGTATATAACATTTTTTTAATTTACAGAAAGACACACAAGTACAGAATCTATAAACACTATAACCTATAATCCTAATAGATCGCACAGAAAACCTTATAGACAAAACAAACACACTACATACCATAGTACTACTGAAGGTAATCAAATAGGTAGTTTTGTTTTTTGACTTATTAGCCTTCATATGACACCCTGCTTACTTACACTTTAACTTCAACCCATTTTCTACACACCCTGTGTCTTAATTTTATATGTACATGGATAGATTTTTTTTTAATCTATGTTATGTTTACTGTAAACATTTATACTTAAATATGGTTCTACGACAGTGGGGTGTCATATGCATACATAAAAATTGTTGTACAATTTTTAGCCGCTTGCAAAGAAAAATTTACAACAATTTTTGTGTGATGTAGTGTAGATACCCTACTGTAGATTGTAGAATACTAGCTTTTAATGTTTAACAATTAGCTTGAATACATTAGACATTTTAATCCAGCCAGGTTTTTGTTATCTTCTTTAATACAAGTTTATGACATCTAAATGACTAGAATCAGTGGCGGCCCGTGACATTTCATTTTGGTGAAGACATTTTTAATTTAAAGGCGAAGAAATGTTTTTAAACCCAACTTTAAAAAACTGACGTCGCAGTTCACAACCTATACTTAAAACTAAGTAAAAAATATCTGTACAATTTCTCACCGTAATATCCATAATGACTAAATTCACATAAATCACCAAGTTAAATTAACTAAACCCACAGAATAAACCACTTACAAAAAAAAGAATCATAAAATAGACAAACTCATAGAAAAAGAATAAACAAAATATTGCGTAAATAACCACAGATTTGTTCTTTAAACAGTTTAGAATTTTATAACCAAAACAAACTTAAAGAAGGAATCTGTATTTATTTTATTGGTTACTGTGATGGCTACAAGATGGCGATAGTGTTAAAATATGTTTATTTTATAATAGAAATATAATTTCGATTACATCGATTAATTATAAGAAAAATAATACCATTTATTATTGAATTTTGAAAATCGTGTGAAGTATAATTTATCTAAAATTCCGCAACAGTGTTGCCACAACACCTGCTTATTTCCATTGATGTAGGCGTGCCTGCCTCGCGTATGCTAATACGAGAGAAGGAGACAACTATGATATCGCATTGTAATAGAACGAGACAACAATGCTAACGCCAATCGTGAGTCTAAATTAGTTCAGGCATGCTTCTGAGCCAATCATCTAGCTATAAATATTTGTTTAAATTGCGGTCGTTTCAAATTCAAATAATTTAAAAGTATAAAATCAATCAATTTTATTGACTATTTCACAATTCATGTAATCCAAATATTAAAAATTTATAGTATATTATTGAAAGTAAAATATTTAAATTATACTTAATTTTTTAACTCTCTATGATAAGGCACTGCCTCCCCTGACGGGCCGCCACTGACTTTTTTTCAAACAAAATTTAACAAAATTGTTTTTTAATAAAGAAACACTGCTAAATGAAATGTATTGTCCACACATTTGAATATGAAAATTCCAACAAACATTTCATCTTTCATTAGATCAATTTTACATGTAAAACGCGTGTATGTGTTCAGTTTGGATATTTTGAATTCAATATACGAAAAGCCAGTAAAATTATCGACAAGCCGTGCGTTCCAGTTTCAAACATTTGTTGCATTCTGTGGGCAATAACAAAAAAATTGTACGCGTTCAGCATCAAATTAAAAGCATAATGTTTGAGTTTTATTTGACAAATAAAAAAGAATGAGTGTGGTTTTGCCGTATGAGTAAAAATGGAAACTAGTTTTTAACTTAAGATTTATAATATTATATATAATACATAATGATATACCCGTTTTTGTTTTTTACCGTTGATTGGAGACTTATTTGTTTTATGATTATTACTGAATTGAAATGTTTACATTTTTCACGTAAATCATTACTTAAATGTGTATTTATGTATCTGATAGGTACTGTTTGCAATTTATTCCCATTAGGATTTCCACTGGTTATTGGAAATCCGGTATAAACTCAACCCAGGATTTCCTCTAAAAAAAAACTCAACAACACAACATATTTTTCTAAAAATGTTTAAAACTGTATTTTTTTTTAATTTCCGTTGTTCCGTTTCCAAAATTTATTGTAGCACTAACAACTGATTTCCCTGTATGAAATAACTTTAAAATGCAATAATTAATGTCATATTTGCATGACGATAAAATGGTTTTAATCATTTTCAGCCACGATGTCGGGGGGATTTCGTTTGTTTAAAAAAATTAATTGAATTTACTCAATTGTATAAACAGACAATGCTAGATAATACATGAAGTTTACTGTAAACATGGAGTTTAATTTTGTTTGTTGACTAAAATTCTAAATCGATCTTCGATATGTTATGTTTGTTTAATAGGTATCATGTATGAGAATATACAGGATGTTTCATAAAGATATCGATTTAAAATTTTCTAATAATCCCATTCCAATTCTCTTTCTCTAAAATATTTTGAACAAAATACGTTTTACCATAAAAATTATTTTTTTAATTATCTTAAAATGTCCTAAAGCCCTTAATTTTTATAATAAAATTTGAGTTTTTAGCATTGTAAATTTTAAACAACTTTGCTAAATAAAATGAGTTTCTCCGTATGCAGCCTTATAATAACTTATAAAGTTTGACAATTAAACCATAACTATTGTCCCTTCCACTTTCTTTATTGTTCTAGTTAAACAACTCGGAGTAGGTACTAAATATTTATTAAAGTGCTGTTGGAAAAGCAATATTTTCTTTTATGAATAGAAATGGAACACGAGTAATAAAACAGTTTTTTCAATTTCAAGTTTTGTAAACGTCTTAAAACTGTTTTAGTAATGTAATTTCTCTTTAAACTATTTAAACGTCCTAAAACCTGTGTAAAAATTATTATTATAAAACAAATAAGTCGTCTAAATTCATACAGCATTATGCAATTTCAAAAGTGTTGATTGAGAAAGTTCCCAATCAACGGTAAAATACCAAAAACGGGTATTTTATATATCATCTCAAGAATAGACAATATTTAAAACAATTATTGTAGTATTCTTTAAAATTGTCAAGTTTTAAAACCAATCATAGGATCGAAAGGCAAAGTTTAAAGTAAATTAGCCAAACCTCAGTTTCACTCAAACTTAACTCGTCAAACTTTAAATGTGTGGGTGAGTGCATACGTAAACGACTTTTACTTAAAAAGTACTTAAACTTTTTTGGGTTAAAGTGATTGGGTGGAGGGAAAAAAGCGTAAAAGATAATTAAATCTCGGGAGCTCCTAATAAATATAAAAGTTTTATAAAGGAAACTGCACTAGCTGCAACGTAACGGTTATTATCTCTGCAATATTTCTGAAATAGTGTTGTGACGTAGCCTGTTAAATTTTAAATCCACGATAAAAATAAGGCATAAATGGTTAACAATTTTACCGAAAATAATTTAATGTAGTTTTTATTTATTTTATTTTTGCTCGATATAGTGGCCATTTGGCACAATGCATTGTATGGATTTTTCCCTATATTTTGTTATTTTACCGATAAATACAACAAACAACAAAAATGTATTTTAATAAATTTTAGTCTATGAGTTTGGGAAACTTTTTGAAATTGTTCCTTATAGCAATATACCTAAATAAAGTTTTTGTTGCTCAATGCTCGTATATATTAAAACTCTCAAGAATTTATTTTAATTATGATGAATTTTTAAATTAAATATTTTATAAAGGCTCATAATAGAACTATTAAATTAATGAAAAGTTTTTTATTCATATTTTATATGCAGTTTATTTGAAAAATTTAATAAGATAGCTAAAATAAAACTTAAATAAGTTATAGCTTAAATGAAACAGCATGATAACCAATTTTAACGTAATATATTTTTTATGCAAGGAGGTTGATTTATACCGTTTGTTCCAGTTTTTTTTTATAAAATTACTTTCTATAAGTGAAGTTAGAGAAAAAAGAGACGCATTTTTTATTTGTTTCTTTACTATGCGCCAATCATATCCAGAAGTTTCCTATCTCTACTTACATTATACTTGTTTGTGTGTTCGTTATTGTTTGCCAATTGACATTAATTCTGTCTTTTTAAAATCACGATTGTACGTTGTAAAATCAGTGCACTTTGTCAATTAGGAAAAGTACAAAAAAAATTTTTGTTCTTTTATAAAAATTTTAAAAAGGATGAGAGGCCAAAAAGAGTGGCAACTTTTTCAATATTTATTTTTTTTAATACCCAGATTTTTTGCGACTTTGCAAAATTTACAAAAATTCACAGAATACTCTTTTTATTGTTTTTTTGGCGCTGTTTTATATAAAAAAAATTAGAACTTGAGAATTTTTAAAAATCTTCAGGATACCTTTAGTAAATTTTCGAAAATTCGCATATCAGGATATTTTTCAAAATATTTACTGTACCTTCGCTAAGTCATCTTGCACTATTAAGCAGTGTTGCCAAATTTATATGAACTTTTTTGATTTTTTAGTTTTTAACAATCAATTTTTTTCAAATTTATTTGGCAACGTTGCCAAATTTTTGGAAAGGAAGCATAATTTTCTATAAATGTGCTACGTTATCCAAGCTAGTTGGATTGGTTTTTCTAATTAGTTTGTTTAAGTCAATTTTCTATAATTTCTTATATTTAACCATTTGCTCAATATAGTCAAGAAAAGATTTGAAATCTGTTGTTAAAAATATTTCAAAAAAATGTTACTTTTTTGTGCAATTTTTTAAATAATTAGTATAAATATAGTATAACTTTGAGTTAGAATATAAATTTAACAATATTGGACAATCTGTTCGGGTGTGAAGAATCACACCACCTAAGATAACCAATGAAATGATTTCCCGCTTGAAATAAGACGCCGGCCGGTCAAATGCAATCTGCATCATCAGTTTGCAGTTTTAGTTAGTGTTAGGAAGTGTATCATTGTGAGGTTAGTACCACATTTCTGCTGAGTAATTATTGAATATTATTTTTCTGAATCAATAATTAAGACCTGGGGATCAAATGAGGATACAAAGTGTTTCTATGTTCTTACTGTGATATATTATTTATCAGCTAACTATTTACTTTAGTTTGTAATTTATATTTATGTTATTTTTCAGTTTATATTAACTTAATTATATCCCAAAATTTTTTTGTTGGTCGCTGAATACAAATTTAATCTATCGACATTATTGTATAAGTATTATTATGTTTATTTTACATTGTCAGAGTCAGTTTATATTAAGTTTAGGTATTCTATTTTCTATAATTTTTTTATAAGTCGCTGAATACATATGTAGGTATCTAAATTAATAATTTAGTTTCATTTTCCTTTTTTAAATAAATTGGAGAAACAATGTTGTGTTATTATGTGCCACAATTTGTGCAATTTCACCACAAAATATTATATTAAAAAGTCTCTAGAATACTCATTTACTTGCAGATTAGATTATTATATGCTCAAATGTGTTTTACAGATGCTAGAATTGATGTGGCCAATATACAAAAATCATACAATTCCTCAGAAAATTATTCAAAAGAATGGGAAAATGGAGGTACAAATATTTCACTTTTATTTAATTAATTGTTACTAACAATAATAATTATAATTGGAATTTGGACAGTTAACATACTAACACACTGTAAACTTTTTAGTTACTGGGTAAAAATTTTAAAAGCAAAAAACATAAAAACAATGCATTTTGGCCTATAATGAAACAATTTTCAACCTTTTATTACGCGCGTATAGCCGCGGCGAATATCAGCATTTATTGAAGAGATAAATTTCCATGTGGCAAATAGAATTAGTTAGTAAATTAGCATATGTCCATTGCACGGCCGTAAACTGCTAACATTATTTTCCTATGACACAAAACCCGGACAAAGCATGGAATGGAATTTTTTATTTTATTTCCATGGCACCTAAATAAATATAAAATAAACATGAATTGTTTGAAATAAACTCGGTCAAATGGATTTTTACCTGGGGCCTGGATCTACAACAACGAAAATTCAAAATTACAAAAATTATTTTCAGTTTTGTTTTATTGAGTTCGTTAAGAGTCTATGAAATGTAAATGTTTAAATTTATCCCGGCGCATCCGCCATTTTTTTAAAATATTGTAATTTATCAAAATTTATCTGGCATTATTGTTTAACTAACTATAAGTACATTTTTAAAATATCCAAAATATCTAAAAATGATATTTTTACGATTTTTTTCTAATATTAACAACCAGAATATAACTTAAAAGCCTTAAACACGCTTTGATGTGCAAATACAGTTTTTTGAATTCAACAACCATATTATTTGTTACAGCCCCCATATCTTTTCCCGACTCACCTGAAGAACAGACCGCTAGAGAGGGAAATGACGCTGTTGTACGCTGTGAAGTTAGAGGTGGACAAGCCACGTGGAGCACATTGGACGACGAAGAGCTAGCAGGTAAAATTAATGTTTTAATATTTTTTTTTTTTTAAATTTAACAAAAGGGTGTCCAAATATTTTCCCAAAGATAAAGAAAAAATATGCGTTTGTGTAAATAAATTCAAAAGGACTTCCCTTAGTTAAGATATTTACAATCTGGGCCCATAACCTAAAATTTGTAAGAAATTCAATGAATTATGTCATAAAAGTTGCCATATTTTGTTTAAATTCACCTTCATTACAAAAACGAGATAATCAACAATTAATTTGGCAACTTCTTTGACAAAATCATTAATTTAATAACACCCTGTACATTTTTTATAAAAAAAATACTTTTTAGCAATTGCTAGGAATCTTTGCAAGCATTTAGACAGCAATCGCTGTATAGTTTACTAATTTAATTAATTTGGTCCTACAGAACCGAAATTCAAGGTGGTAGCTGACGGGTTGATAATTAAAAATGTTACCAGGGAAGATAGCAAGACGTATGTCTGTAAGGCATTCCAATCCAGCACTGGAAACATCTTTGATAGAAAAATACGACTAATTGTTCAACGTGAGTACCTTTTCTTAATTAGAAATAGTTTAAAAGTGTTACCCCACTTGTAACGTGTATTTTTTATATTCTTAGTTGTAATTTAAATTGATACTTATTTGAAGGATATTTTCTTAACATTAGAATAAGATATGCTTGTTTAAAGAAAGATTAATATTAGTTTTAGCCTTGACAATATTAGGTCAAATTAGGATCAAATAAATTATACTTTTATTTTCTCGATAGTACAGACATTAGACAATAAATGTAAAACTCGAGAAAACAATAACTCAAATAACGTCAAATTTAATACAGAACTCTTCGTGGAAAAGTATGGGGCGCATTCGCTCCTTTATAAACAATCAATTCGTTATTTGATTGTCTGCAAGCGAGTCATAAGTTTTAAAATAAATAAATAGTTTTGCTCGTAGTTTCTTGGTGTTTGCGCTCTCTGCTAGAGCCCTGCTCCGTGATCTGTAAACGTGATATTGCACAAAATTATGTTGGCATCCCTGCCAGCTTGGCCGCCTTCAAATTTCGCAGCAGAGATTACCCTTGTCGCTACTTGGAATTTTTGTTTTCGTTTAATGCTACGTTTGACAAATAAAGGATATACAGTCTTTCGAATGTTGTCAAGGCTTATTCTCCCTTTTACAATTTTATTATCCAATAGATTGATATACAGGGTGGTAAAAAACTGCAAAGTCATTTTTTTTACTTTTTATAAAGCAATTGTAAAGATTTTAAGGAAACTGGTGTAAAAGGTAATGTTCTTTTAGCAATGGTGCTGAAGTTAGCTTTAAGTTAGTTGACAGCTGTGCAAAATTAAAAAAATGCGATGTTGCCAAATTTTAAAAGTAATGTCAAATTTTCAAAATGCGATGTTGCCCAATTTACAGAAACGATGTTGTCAAATTTCGCAAAACAACTTTTTTCTTAATACAAAAATACAATGTTATTAAAAAGTCGATCTTTCAAAAATTTATATGCACAATAATTATTCTGTACTGACCTTTTTTCCAAAATCGCGTTGCCAAATTTTCAAAATGCGATGTTGCCAAATTTTCAAAATGCGATGTGGCCAAATTTTCAAAATGCGATGTTGCCAAATTTTCAAAATGCGATGTTGCCAAATTTTCAAAATGCGATGTTGCCCAATTTACAGAAACGATGTTGTCAAATTTCGCAAAACAACTTTTTTCTTAATACAAAAATACAATGTTATTAAAAAGTCAATCTTTCAAAAATTTATATGCACAATTCTGTACTGACCTTTTTTCCAAAATCGGCGTTGCCAAATTTTCAAAATGCGATGTTGCCAAATTTTCAAAATGCGATGTGGCCAAATTTTCAAAATGCGATGTTGCCAAATTTTCAAAATGCGATGTTGCCAAATTTTCAAAATGCGATGTTGCCCAATTTACAGAAACGATGTTGTCAAATTTCGCAAAACAACTTTTTTCTTAATACAAAAATACAATGTTATTAAAAAGTCAATCTTTCAAAAATTTATATGCACAATTCTGTACTGACCTTTTTTCCAAAATCGGCGTTGCCAAATTTTCAAAATGCGATGTTGCAAAATTTTCAAAATGCGATGTTGCCAAATTTTCAAAATGCGATGTTGGCAAATTTTAAAAGTAATGTTGACAAATTTTCAAAATGCGATGTCGCCCAATTTACAGAAAGCGATGTTGTCAAATTTCGCAAAACAAATTTTTTCTTAATACAAAAATGCAATGTTATTAAAAAGTCAATCTTTCAAAAATTTATATGCACAATTCTGTACTGACCTTTTTTCCAAAATCGGCGTTGCCAAATTTTCAAAATGCGATGTTGTCAAATTTCCAAAATCGGCGTTGCCAAATTTTCAAAATGCGATGTTGCCAAATTTCCAAAATCGGCGTTGCCAAATTTTCAAAATGCGATGTTGCCAAATTTTTAAAATGCGATGTTGCCAAATTTTGGATGGCGACGTTGCAATGTTAAAAAACTGCGATGTTGCCAAATTTAAAAGTAATGTTGACAAATTTTCAAAATGCGATGTCGCCCAATTTACAGAAAGCGATGTTGTCAAATTTCGCAAAACAAATTTTTTCTTAATACAAAAATGCAATGTTATTAAAAAGTCAATCTTTCAAAAATTTATATGCACAATTCTGTACTGACCTTTTTCCAAAATCGGCGTTGCCAAATTTTCAAAATGCGATGTTGCCAAATTTCAAAATGCGATGTTGCCAAATTTTCAAAATGCGATGTTGCCAAATTTTCAAAATGCGACGTTGCCAAATTTTCAAAATGCGATGTTGCCAAATTTTCAAAATGCGATGTTGCCAAATTTTGGATGGCGACGTTGCCATGTTTAAAAATTGCGATGTTGTCAAATTTCCCTAAACAACGTTGCCAATTTTATAAAAAAACGTTTAAATTAATTGCTAAAAAATGTCCCAAGACAATTGTTAGGTGATAAATCGAGTGAAAATGATGTAATGTAAGTTTAATTCAAACACAACAATACAGGGTTAAACTAAACAGATAAACACCCGAGCGTACTCATATTGTTCCTGTCGCCGCGGTAGCATATAGGAAAGCTGGATGTATTAATTAAGGCCAAATGTACACAAGGTTAGATTGCTTGCTTAATACTTTGGCCGCCCGGGGGGAGCAGCGCATTTTGCGGGTAATTCTCCAACTGAGCAGCTGTTTGAGACGGGCCTGTTCTCCGTTGTTTAATTGAAATCTTTGATGAAATGCAATGCAATGTACAAGGTGATCCCTATAATGTCGCCCCCCTTTAACTTTTTTATTTTAAAAGTGTGGTTATGTAGTTACTAAAAAATACTTTTTTTCTACGTATAAATAAAATTGAAAAATTGGTCAATATACAGGGAAAAACAAAAAGTTTATTTTTTTAATGGATAACCCTATATATGTATTTATTTTTCGATTCCTTGTAAAATTCTAAGCATATTTCAACCGTTTCTGAAATATTTAAATTATTTTGAGTTAAAATAGTTTGTATTTTTCTGTCTGAGTAGGTACGCCGTTTTTACTTATTTAACAAGACATATTATTATTGTTAAACTTATAAAAAATGTAGAATACAAACAATGTCACTCGTAAAAAGAGACGTTGCCAAATGTAAAAAACGTCCTCAGAAACTAACTTACTTTTGTATTATATTGTACCATGTTCTGTATGATGAACTGTAAAACAGGAATCTCATTTTAAGTTTCCGTCGAATATCCAATAAGGACTTTATAATTGGCGTGATGCCGCTAGGTTTCAACTTAATTTATCTTCCTCGTAAAGTGCATCAGAGCCTCCTAATTAAATTGTATTTTGCCAATGCAGAAAGATGTAAGCGGCAGATGCACCAACTCGAATAAACAATAATCCACTTAGCAATATCGATTTAGTCTTCATTGCAAGATTTTGAAGGTATTGTAACGTTTTTACCGTTCGTAAATACTAAAAAACTATAAAACTAACTAAATGCTTAACTACTAATTATTTATATATCACTACTGTTTAAGAGTCTATTTATTTGCACGTATATTTATTTATTTCGTCGCGAGTACCAAACCTCGACTAACTGCTCCATGCTGCGCTGTTCCTTATATATTCAGTGCCTACGTGCCTTCCCGAATATTCATATTTTTGTAATTTCATTTTTATTAAGTATTCAAAACTTCAAATTCTGTCCCATCGTGTTTCGGCAGATATGTTAGAAGTGAAAGATAGAGGGAGAAAATAGCAGAGAGAACTTTTGCATAATAAACCTACCCACCTATATAGCTCTACCTACACGTCACAGCATGCATTTAACGGAATAAAATCTGACATTTCAATTTCCTTTAAAAGATGCATGCAACAGCGTTGAAGTTAACTCTTTCCAATGAATTATGTATGTTTATAATTAGAAACTTTAGCAGCCGCCAGACACGATCCAAAGCTGCCACTGTTCTAAATAAACCATTTAACAATGTCGAAAATTGCAATTGTTTTATCATTCATTTTATGCTACTTTTAAAGCAAATTTAAGACAATTAAAAATGCCATTTTAAAACAAGTTTTAGAATAAGAACACACTTTAGGATTTAAAAAAAGATAAAAAAGAACATGTCAAAAAACTAACCTTAGCAAATTAGTAAAAAAAAGAAACGAGGTGCATACTATACTTTTTCTACGACAAATACTTATTATTATCTTAAAATGATTTAAATTAAAAATTTGTATAGAGCGCCATCTATGAAACAATAGGGGAATCTGTGTGTCACCTTCAAAAGTCAAATTTTTGTATTTTATAAACACAGATTATAAAGGTTATAAATCGAAATGTATTTCTTGAAAATTGACAGTTTTTCACAGTGAAAGTAAAGAAAATGTTTTATGAGCACTTTACAGTGGAGTCCGTGCCCGAATTTAAGTTATAGTTTACTGCCGGCGAAATTTAAAGGTCAGTACAATGTTCATATAAACTTTTCAAATATTGGCGTTAAGACACTATTTAATACTTTTGTATTTTTGCATTGAGATAATAAAATAATTTTCACATTTAGTATTATTTTATAAGAACGGCAACTTTCACCTAGGAGAACACTAAACTGAGTAATTATTTTAATGTAATATAAAGGAAATTAACTCAATTAATTAAATTTAAAAGGGTGGGCCCCGGAAGTAAAGGGCCCACCTAGTAAATTAACGAAGATCCAAACATAGTACCAACCAAAAACTATAATTAATTATAATTATGGATAGTGAAAAGCTTTTAAATGGGCAACATAAAACTACAGAGATATTTTTAACCAGATTCGCGAAAGGCAAACGTTGAAAATCGGGTTAAAAGCAGATAACTCAATATTCAATGTTGCTAAGTGAATATTGAAATTTGCTGAAACGCTGTTTAAATTTAATAAAGAAAAAAGTTTTTAAATTTTTACTTTTAATTTATTATATTATATATGCATATTTGTTTTGTTAAAATTACTTTGAAAACAAAAATTTAAAGTATTTTTCTACGTTAAACACCTGTAAATTTGTAATTAACTTTTCCCATTTCTCATTTCACCACCCTAAAATTTATTAAGGCTATTTCGCAAACCAACCTCACAAATACCTAAAGGAGATTAATTTGTCTAAATACAAGATTTACTGCGTAAGCGATTTAAAATTAATATTTTCTTTTCCCACCTTTAATACGCCCATTATCGTACATGTTTTTTTAAATACGCATTGACAGGTTGTGGCTTTATGGCGTTTTAGTCACGGGCTGAAGTTAGCAACAGGTTTTTAGTCACGGACTGAAGTTAGTTTTAAGTTATCAAATGTATCAGTGTATTTTATTATTCCAATACAGAAATACAAAAGTTAAAATGCATGTTGTACTGACCTTTTGATTTCGCAGTAAACTAGTTTACCTTAATTTAGGGTGGAGACTTGTTTTATAGATGTTGCTCTATAAAAATATTTAATTTAAATTATGTTATATGTTATAATTTTAAACAAAAAATATACTAAATTTTAAGTAGACTTTACAGCAAATCATTCTCCCTTAAAAATATACATTGTTTAGCTGAATGGTGAATACCTATATAGAGACTAGAAAAAGGGTAGAATTTCTTGATGTTTAATGCAGTCTTTTGGCTTCTCATCTGCCTGTTCGTTAAATAATTAATCAAAAGGTTTCACTTGGTTACAGGCTTTATTTTTTATGATCCAGACTGAAACGCATACAAGGGTGGTTAGCCAATATTAAATTTAAATGTGAACTGAATAAGGTAAAAAACCAGCTTATTCGTACCTATAATCTGGAGATAAAATATACATAATTGTTTTTTATGTGATTCTTCGGCCAACCTAATATCACTCAACATCTAAAATTCAATACATAATACTACACACATAAATATAATTATGTAATGATTATTACCTACACATACATTTGGTGGTTAATTCCATCAAATTCCATTAATTTAGCAGCTTTTTCATAATTCCAAACCGAATATTAACTAACACAAGAAATCTTCCAAAATGTCGGACAATTTCGTAAGTGGGGATATTTTTAAGAATAGGCCAGTCGTACCAATATTTACTAATCTTAGAATAAATATAATTATATTTATATCCAGTATAGTTTTATATCTTTAACATGCAAGAATAAGATCTAAAGATCTATGAAAAATATTTAAATAACAATTTAAAAAAATGTAGGTAATAATAAAAATTATCAACGAACACGAAAATAAAGTTTTGTAGCAAATTTTCCGCACCTTTACGTTACTTAACACATAAACACGATATCTTGCATTTTATTTCAAGGCAAGTTAAATGTATAAAACCGTTGTGCATTTGAATTCGAAAGGTGGCGTGGTTATTGTACTACTTTTCGGCAACATTTAACTTGTAGATATATGAGCCTTATTGTGCGCTGAAAAGCACCTCAATACAAAGCGGCACCTGTGGTTTTTTATTACCGGAAAACTTTTTAAACGATGCCTTCCATTTACCCCAAACTTGGCGTTAAGTTTTAGTTTTTAAACTTTATTTTCATTATTTGAAATTCCATTTTGAGCTAATTAATATGTATAAGAATTAATAAGAGAACATAAATTAGGAAAAGTTTGGCGCAGTCAAAATGGGGATGCCTGATTAACATGTACGCCTCTTGATATTAATTGGAAACCGTGCTTTGACTGACTTGTGCTGCTTAAAGGGATCCTGAAATTAATTCGGCAGGAATAAATCATGATGAAATGGTATGACCATAAACACATTAATCAACGCCTATACGTCCATCGGCTATAATTGAAGAAAAAATACGATTTTTATTTCAAGTGGCCATGGTAATAGTAATGCTATGCCATTTTTCAACGAAATAAAAAGTAACACCCTCTATATTTCTTGTTTATTATGTTCCCAAATCAATTAGTGCCTTTCCCTTGTTTGCCAATTACGATAACAAATTACAGATGGAAGACAATAAAGAGATAGCAATAATAACAGTCAGAATTGCTTGCTAGAGAGAGATTTTAACGAGATACATGCTCCACCCAACACTGCGCTATTTACTAAACTGTCACTATGAGGAGCTTTTCCACTTAGTACATTATTCAACGATATGTCAATATGTGAGATGTTGTTATTGCCATTTAATGAACATAATCATAAGGTGATCAATAAATACTAAGAAAAACAATTCGTTCATATTCATATACAGTATGTCTTCTCAGAATATGGTTAAATTGCAATTTTTATTTTTCTGATGACTTTGGACTGAACAATTTTTGCTAAGAATCATTTTTGATTTTTGACGTACAAATTTCCTTCAAACCACAAAACTGCATACCCAAGCAACAAAATAAGTCGAATAGTGTCTATACCAGCACCAAATTGCCCTAAAAGGGTTGAAATTTACAAAAATTTAACCAAACTTTTGTGTTTGAGGTCGACATTTATTTGTGGGCGAAAAATAGGTAAAGAACTGGTTCTTTTTGGCTTGCACATATTCCCTCAAAGCCCTCGGACTTCAAATTTTTGTTTCCTGGTCCAATTATGGATACGTTGCCCATTACTAGTTACCAACATTTTCCCTGCCTTTATAGTAAAAATAATTGGTCCCAGTTACCTAATGTACCCCTCTTCATCTACCTATAAGTATTTATATCCTTAATGGTAAATCACAGGGGATAACCGTTAGTCAGACTGTTCTATTAATTTACCAATTTTCAACCAACTATTCGTACAAAATTCGTAAGGACAAATTAAGTAATTCTAACCCTAATTGCCTGAAGTTTTGGTTAAGGCATGTTTTGGTCAGGAGTCGGGCCAAGTTTTACTTATTTATATTTAAGTGATGTACCTTAAGGTCTAACTTACTACAATATTGATCTTGTAAGTCGATGCGGTTATATAGAGGTCGAATTTACCACCTCATTTAGACTAACAGGTCCTTTGGACTTATTTAGAATTTAAAGTTAATTCAGTTTTTGTTGTTGTGAGCGCTGGAACTAGCATGATGTCGCGAAAGTGTTTTAAGCCGTACAGGCTGACCACTAGCTATTATCGCAAGTTGAAAAAATGTTTAATATTACGAAAAGGAAATGTTAATAATGCTGTAAACTTATCCAGTGTTTCAACCGGTCCACTTACTATCAAGAAATCAGTTTGTACGAAAAATATTTTTTGTGAAAACACATCGGAACACTTTTAACGAAGGGCAAATTGATTTAATCTCTTGCGAAGATAATTTTAGCAAAAGGGAAGAAGAACTGTTAGGCAAAAAGCTTTCTCTAATAGAAGAATTAACTAATTGGGCGTTGTCTCATAAAATAAACCTAGATGCCACAACGCATTTGTTGAATATTCTTAGAGGTTGTGGTCTTGATTTGCCTAAAGACGGCAGAACCCTACTAAAAACATCATCATTAATTCACGTTACCATCTTCTTCCCACTTAAGTGGAATAAAACTGTATTCCACAGTACACTTGTTCATTCTTTTATTTATTATAGCAACTATTTTAAAATAGTCTCCCATTGTTAACTATACACACAAGCAACTAGGCGTGCTAAAGCGGTTGACAGTTTTATTATAGGCATGCGCAATTATGATAATGGCCTACAAAGTCGAAATCTGGGCACTAATTTACTTTATGGTTGAAAATAGGGCATTTATGGTTAAAAATAGGGCATTATTGTGCAATTGCTAATAGACCTCACAATATTTATTCCCTTGTTAAGACATATGGACTACATAGGCAGTAATTTAGGTTATTTTAACTGAACATTAGGGAAATTTATTTTACAGGTCCAAATTATAGGGAAATTATGTTTTTAAGTTCAATACGTCGAAATCGCCATCTTTTCTGATAACCAAAACAGTTTACATCAAAGTATTAAAGGAAAAAATAATTTTATCTAACCACTGTTTGAGATTTTTTTCTAAAATTGGGCTCTATACAACTTAAAAAAACTAACGAACTAAAAAACCACCTTTTCAGCGCTCCATAAAATAAAATAAGGAAAATTCCAAATTGACAAAAATTTAAAAAAAAATGTTTTTCTTAAGTATTTTCAAGGGCGCGTCTGTTATTTAGCGCTACAGTAAGGATATTTGACAACAAAATTCTACTCGCCCATTAATTTAGCCCTTAGGTAACTCAAAATACCCATTTTAAAAATGGACTTTAAAGATATATTTATGGTCCTAATAGTGTTTGTTAACTTGTACCTATATTTTTAGCATTATTTTGACAGAGATAAAATAGCGGAGAGTGGGATCGAACTAAAAGGACTTACAGGTTGATAATTGGTTATAGATTACCACTATTTTACGTCACAGCAACTTAAAATTGGGCAGCTTTGCAATAACAGTCTTGGTCACAATGCCTTCTTCTACTTCCAAAATACCTTAAATTTACTAACTTTTTATTCCCCGCTTACGAAAATATTACGTAACTGTAACGTAAATTTGCCTTTAACAGGGATGGTATTAAATGGTCGATTGCCTTACAGGGGGTCGAAAATAGGTTATTTCGACCAAAATTGTTGCTTGGGTATTAATTTATGAAAATTACCAAACTTAAAACATTTCAACTTATTTCTATTTAATTCACCCCCGAACATTAGCAATGCAAAAATAATTTATTGCTCAATATTTTAACAAAAGAAATGAAAACAAGGAGAAATTGAAACAGCCATGCCTAAAATTTATGACTGTAATTATGCCTGGTGAAAAAATTAACTGTAACAGTTTTTAAGACAGCCGGTGAAATTAAAAATCGCTTTGGCGTTCTAATATACAGCGTGATCCTATTTTTTATTTTAGATAAACCAGTGTTGGTGCCACATTACGCAACGGACAAAATCGTTTATGGGTACATTAATGGTTATGTAAACTTGACATGTGAGGTTTATGCTGAACCTGCCCCACGTTTTCAGTGGTACCTCGTGATAAGGAAAGAAAAAAAGAAAATTTCCGGGGAAATCAGTGCCTCCACTCATGCCTCAGTCCTACAAGTAAGAAGATTTCTTTGAAATTTTACATCGTTAACATGTATTACTTTTAGTTGTATGTCACGAAGAGATCCTTTGGAGATTACGTTTGTGTTGCCAAAAACAACTTGGGAATGTTGGAGAAAATCTTCACTTTAGACGAAGGCTCTCAACCAGATCCTCCAAAGGGTTTTGAGTTGGTTGAGGCGTTTGGAGATACTTTGGTTTTGGAGATTATAGGTCCTGATTTGGAGGAAGACCGGGATGAAAATATGGACCCCAGATGGTATGGAGTGGAGTACAAGAACTCGCAGAGTGAGGAGGATTGGAGTCTTCAGGAGTTTAACATAACTGATGGTAAGTTTTTATTTTTAGTTGGTTATTATTAATTCAACCTACATCATCCTCATTATTAAAACAAACGCACAGACCAAATCTCCCAAACGTATCACCTCTTAGTAGTCCTTAGACCTTATAAATACCTACTAAAGACTGTCTCTCTTCTTCTTACAGAGAACACCTATTCACTATCGGGACTCGAACCTCTCACAGATTACGAAGTTAGATGCGCAACGAAAAACCTGGCCGGCTTTAGCGATTTCACTAATTCATCTATATTTAAAACGGTGTCATCGGCCCAAGACTGCACCTATTCGATCTTAATGCTGCTCTTACCTTTGCTGTGTCAAATGTTTACTGGAAACTGATGTTAAAATGTTTAGGCTTATAAACCAATTCTATGAGAAGTTATGAGGGATTTATTATGACTTTGGTTGATTTAGTTGTTTTAACCAAGCATTTTGTTACAAATACAGTAATACTACCCTGAGTAGTACATAAATGAGGGTTCTGGACATTATAAATATAGTAATATTTCCATGTAATTTTTTTTATATTTTAAACTAATAATATGCAAAAATTTAAGACCCACACTAGATAGATTGTTATAGTATATAGTAAAGAAAATATAACTGCCCCTATAAAAATTATTGCAAAAACAACCAAAAAATGTTTTTGTGATGTGAGATAATAAAATTAAAATGTGTAAAAATACCAGAAAAGTGTTACGCCAGGGTACATCAAAATACAAAACTAGGTTTCTTATGCATTACAAAATTAACCTAGTTTTTTGTTTTTACTTTTTCCATATTTCATGCACAATCATCTTGCATCTACCATCCACGGGCAATAACATCATTTCATATCAACAATCATTATCATTAAAAAAATTGACTGTAATGCCAAATAGAGGAAGAACTTACTAAAAAGACACAATTTTTGTAAATATAATAATGAGTGTTATGAGCTTTATTATTTTGGAGGCTTCTTAATTGTACATCTAATTGCTGAAATGTTTGTGGGACATTTTAAAGAGATTTTTGATTTTTTTAACTTAAATAAAAATCTTGAGTGATCTTTGGTACTCACCAATTATTGATAACTCTCTTTACATGGCCGCGAGTTCTAGAAGCATCTCAAGACTTCACTAAGGCTTAATTAATAATAAATGATTATTTAATGTTTAAATAAATCAAAAATTAAATAAAATCTTTCACACGAAATAAGCGGAATACAATTTTACAGTTTATTCAACTTAGATAGTGATTTAACGGTATTGTTTGTTTATGGCTTATCCCAATACTTACATTACGATTCAAAATATGCAATCAATTATAAAGGGATTTACGAGTAATAGACCAGGTATGATGCACTTAAATTTGTTGAATTTCGGTCTAAAATCGATTCTAATTGGGAAGGATTAAACCGGATTATCTGGCAGGCTTTTGATTATTAGTTTAGTTTAGTAGGTTAAATTTAAATATTGTATTGTTCTTTCGATGGTTGAGTCCGACGAGTTACCAATTAATCAATTGTGCCAACATTAAAAACAAAAAATGACTTTATTAAAGTTGAAGTTATCAGACTGATTATTAGTTGAATAAATTGTAATAGTTTGACAATATTTATACTGTATAAATTATAATTATAAATGTAATTTCAAATTTGTTAGTCAATAAATATATACACTTTTGTCATATTGGTGTAAAATAAAAAAAATTGTTGAAACGTAGCTTGATACTTAATTCCAGCTTTTTATTGTTGGTATTGATAAAAGAAATGTATTTGTTTTGCTTTACTTTATGGTGCTAAGTATAATTTTTTATAAATTCATTGTATATAATAGTTATAAATAAGTTTAAATTATCGAAATTGTATTGATGTTTATAAATTCGTTAACGATCCATAATTATATGTATTTAGTTTTTCAAAAATAAAACCTATTTACAACCCGAAATTTTTTTGAATTAAATAAAACCCAATGTGTATATTTAATGTGTATTGGACGGACCATCAAGTCTATCAGGTATAATAAAAAAATGCATGGAAATTTGCGGGAGATGCTTTGGATGTTCTTTAGTGTCAACTTCGCGTTTTTGAAAATGTTTTTCCACCCATTTTAGAAGCAACCTTACTTCATCGTAACTCTGAAGTCTTACATCGGCAGCAGTTTTCACGAGTTTTTTATCTCCAACTATCCGAAAAGTGATTGCTAGACCTTTGAGGATCTAAAGGAAGAAACAGGGTTTAAATAAAAAAGTATTTAACATACGTATTCTCTTATATTATTATTAAAATTAATAAATATTATAAAAAATAATAAACACCGAATCGTCCACTTGTGTCGTTTGGCTTAAATCTATCCCTGTATATACAAGAAACTAAAAACTAAAAGAACTATAAGGGATTTATGGACTCTTTTATCGATGCGTTTTTAGTTTGGTTTTTTGTAACGGTGTACATCTCCATCTGGACTGCCGCGTGGCGCAAAGAATTTCTCCTGTAATTGTTAGGATCTAAACTCGGTTTCCTACGACTTAAGTGTCTCTCGACCCATTTTAGAAGCGTTAAGACCGAGTCTGTGGATGGCAAACGACGCTCCGCCACTGTTTTAGTGATGTCGGATGATGTTACCCTAAATGTGGCCGCCATACCCTTAAGAGCCTGAGGAAGAGTTAAAACAACGTATGTATATGTGTATGTATATTAATAAACACTAATAATAAACACAATAGTACTCACTGTCATGGCATCTTCATCCGTCTCATCGTCACCAGCATATATGATCCTGATCCTCTCGCTCCAATCAACACCGAAGGCCGTTCTGAGAATGTAAATGGAGGCTCTACCTTTGTTCCACTGAACGGGTGGTTTCGCTTCCAACGCGTATAAAGCGGGGCAGGCTTGAAAACCGGCGTCTTCGATCAAAGTCCTGGCAGTATCCTCCAATTCCTTTCGCATGTTTACTGGCGATTCGCGAAAATGGAACGTCAAGAGAGCACCTTTATTCTCAACCCAAGCACCGTCCTTGCAAACCTTTTCTTGCAGCTGCCGCATCAGCTTGCCCGCTTTCTCCTGGAACTCTATCGGCATCGGATGGACGAATTTCGTACCGTCCGGATGCAGAATTTCGAGACCATGACTACCAGCGTACGTGATACCTTCTATGCCAACCATTTCCTTAACGTTATCGACGTTTCTACCGGATACGACGGATATATAGACGTCCGACATGTTGGAAAGTCTCTGTAAGACATTCTTAGTTTCCGGCGGTATTATGGCGAGGTCTGGATGGGGAGCAATGGGAGCTAAAGTACCGTCGTAATCCAACAATAAAGCTAACTTGTGAGTGTTACCAATATACCTACAAATTATGAACAATTAACAGGGTGGGTATATAGTATGGAATCTTACTTGGCCAAATATTCATCAAAGTCGTCCAAGGTGACAGCAGGCATACTTATGGGGGTTAAATCGTCACCTTCCTGCGTTTTTAGGGACCCCATGGCGGTCAAGAACGATTTAGTCCAGTGGTCGACGTCGTAGATCTTCTCGCGACGTCTCAGATAGTTCATGCGTAGAATCCTTTCGTCCTCTGGCATCGTTAAGGCTCTGTGAATAACCTCCGCCACGCCGTCTAGCTCGTAAGGGTTGCAAACCAAGGCTTCGTGCATCGTTTCCCCCGCCCCAGCGAAGGGCGAGACTATTAAAACACCCGGCGGTACGTTGATCTGGCAGGCCACGAATTCCTTGGCCACCAAGTTCATGCCGTCGCGCAGCGGTGTAACCAAACCAACGGCGGAGTCTCTGTAGAAAGCGGCCAGCTCGTCTTGCCCGACGCAACCGTATATGTAGCGTATAGGCGACCAGTTCGGCGTGGTGAACCGCCCGTTGATTCGGCCGACCAGCTGGTCCATTTCTTCCTTGAGATCTTGGTACTCCTTCACGTCGGTTCTCGATGGTACCGAGATTTGCAGCAGCGAGACTTTACCGATGTGTTCTGGATGCTTTTCGAATAATTTCTCGAACGCTCTCAGCCTGTTAACCAAGCCTTTGGTGTAGTCGAGTCTATCGACCCCCAGGATGATTTTTTGGTTTGTGTTCAGAACAACCGGTGCCTTTTCCGCGAGTTCCACGAATCTATCGAAAGGTATACCGATTGGTAAGGCTCTAACTCGTACAGCTCTGCCACCATGTTCGACAAGCAAATTTTTTCGGTCCACACGACAACCTAAATTTCTTTGACAGCAGTCGACAAAGTTGAGGCAATAGTCGGTTATGTGAAATCCCACCATGTCGCAACCCAACATTCCTTGCAGGATTTCATCGGACCACGGGAATAACCTGAAGATATCCCATGGCGGAAATGGTATGTGAAGGAAGAAACCGATTTTGCACGGTATATTTTCATCGTCAGCAGCCTAAAATGATAATGTTAAATAAAGAAAACAACCCAACAAAATAACATACTTGTCTTATCCAATTAGCAGCCAACATAAGGTGGTAGTCATGCACCCATATCAAAGGTGGTTGCTGAGAGCTTTTTTCCAACGATCTTAAAGCTTTCATGGTACACTGGGCGAACTCTTTGTTTGCTGTTATGTAATTTTGCCAGTGCTCTTGCTGGAATGTTGCTCTATCAGGCATAGAGTGGAATAAGGGCCAAAATGTGGCATTACAACAGCCGTTGTAGTAACTATCAAATACCTCTGGATCTATCCGAACTGCTACTACCTAGTTTAAAGAAAATATAATGTCACACAACTATAATACTTTTAACAAACCTTTTCCGATTTAAGTCCAGCAGTCGGTGTAATATCATCCGGATCAGATTCTGGAATTGGTGTGTCGGGATGTTCCAGATGGATTCCAGGCCAGCCAACCCATAAACCACCTCCGTTTACTACCACAGGCGCGACAGCTGTTACCAGCCCACCGGCACTAAAATGTTAAAAGTTTTATCTACTCCAGAACTTAAATAAAAATCTTCTTCAAATTGCTGAGGAACTAAACATTCATTACCTTAATTTTGAAACATTTTTAGATAATATATAAGAAAATTAATAATTTTTTAGTTAGTTAAACTCTTATTTTTGTTTCCTTGACTTGTCATATCAAAAACCTTTATCTTGTAGTCTTGAACTTGTTGACTTTACTTTAGTCTAGTTCCTAAAGAATGCGCAAAATATAGTAAATATTTTGAATTTGGCATCACAAATAATGATTTCCTTTGAACTACATACAAACAGTTTTAATGGGTTTAAAATGTATACAAAATAAAATTGAATTGGCAATTCCAATTGGAATTTTTAAACACCATTTATATTTTATTATCCATTATGATTGTTAGAGGTTAATCACGACAACTTGATGCTAAAATATATATTGTTATATTTTTATTTAAACAAGGAATTTTGATAATAATGTTTACAGAACTTAAAATTACCCAGAGATTGCTATTGCTAAGGGTTTTTATGTTTAAAATGTTCTTTGATTAATATATAAATATTCACCTCTAGATGCTAAAGCTTACCTTGATTTTCTGACCATAGAACCATCCTTGTTCTTCTTTAGTACGAATGGAAGTCTATTGGAGACAACTATCATAGATCCAGACGAGGTGACCACATCTAGAGTCATTTTCAACGGTTAATAACAAATAAATTAGTTAAAAAAATAAGTTAAAACATAATACAGAATACGAAAACAATAAAAAAAATAATTTTTGCACACAAGCTGTCTAGCTTTGGTAGTGTAACATGAACTACTGAATTATAATAATTACAACAATTATCTTAAATCTGGTATACGGACAAAGTCGATGATTATGAAGGGGTCAGAAGTTTATCATTAGCTCGCTGGTCATCAATATTAGTTATTGATTTATTGTAAATACTCCTACTTCTTCGATGCGATCTTGTTGTCGCCTTTATTGTTGGCTGTCTTCGATTTCCTATGTGATTTTCTTGAAAGGAGGAGATGTGAACTGAGCCTAACAGAACTGGTTTTTGATTTGTTTGGGTCTGTACGATTTGTTTATTTATTTAACCCAAATATATGTATATATTTATAAATTTTAGATTTTACAAAATTTTGGACCTTACTATATTATTAAACATAATATCATGCGTATAATATTGTGTATAGATTTTTTTAATCTCTTTGTGGGTCATAACATAAGTTGGATGCGTAATTTATATTTAAAGTGACATAAATAGATTAGATAGACATAATTATATAATATTAATTAGACTAGACCAAAAAAATCAACTATTTTTTTTTTGAAAAGTATATCGAAAATATGGTTTGGGGTGACAAAAAAAATTATTGTGAAAGTTTGAGTCCATAATATTAATATCGCAATTTTAATTTTTTTGTCCTCAGCAAGTTTTAGGCTCAGAACTCCCAAACTATTGAGTTTAACAAAATTGACTTGAAAATATTTTTTTAAGAAAATTAAATGCTCTACAAAAATGGTTAAAGTGAAATTTTCGGTCAGATGAACCGTTTCCTTAAAATCATGCCTTAAAAATTGGTATAGTTTTACATTTTGATGTTTTAAATTGGAATTTTGCAATTCATGTAAAAATCAGTACCCATAAAAACCCGATAAATATTCTTATGGGAAATCAAATGCCTTACAAAAAAGCCTCTCAACATTTTTGGCTAAATTCACTCAATCAAAAGTTATTCAAGGTTAAAATTTCGTTTTGACTTCAAATTTAACCTTGAATAACTTTTGATGGAGTGAATATAGCCAAAAATAATAAAAGACTTTTTTTGTAGAGCATTTGATTTCCCATAAGAATATTTATCGTTTTTTTCAGGGTACTGATTTTTACTTGAATTACAAAATTCCAAAGTTAAAAGATCAAATTGTAAAACTATACCAATTTTTAAGGCATGATTGTAAGAAAACGGTTCATCTGACGGGAAATTCCAATCACACCTTTTTTGTAGAGCATTCAATTTTCTTCAAAAAATATTCTTAAGTCAATTTTGTTAAACTCAATGATTTGGGAGTTCTGAGACAAAAACTCGCTCAGGAAAAAAAAATCTAAAATTGCGATGATAGACCTCTTAATATTAATATTATGGACTTTCACCATAATTTTATTTGTCGCCCCAAACAATATTTTCGATATACTTTCAAAAAAAAAATAGTTTTTGGCCCAGTCTAATATTAATAATTTGATTTTCCATCCGACATTTTTTAAAAATATTTTTTTTCACTTTTTTGCAAAACTCTATAACTATAGATGCTATAGTGCGAAATAGTTGTTTATTTCATAAGGCTGAGAATTGAGTTGAAAATTTTACAATTTAGCGAAGCCCAAAAAGACACTTCTCAGCCGAATGGCATACAATATTTTATCTTCAAGGCACAATTATATTTCTTAAACAATATATAAAACATACAATTATGATCTGACAGTAGTTGAATGTTTTGATTGGTCCAAACGGCTTTTTACAGGCTTAGAGGTGAAAAAACTACACGATTCGTCTAAATTATTTTTAAAGCTAATCACTTTATTTGCAGATGACATTTTGCCAAAGAAATTCGCAAAGATGAAAGTCCCTCTCGATATAGTACTAGTAAGATAATAACTTACGAATAAATTATAAATATTAATAAGCTTTTAATGTATTTATTGACCCAAAACTTTTTTTTCGGAGTTTCATTCACTTGATTGAGTGGTGTTTCGCTATTATCGATATCGATAAAAAATTGTTTATGGGAATGCAGGGTCTCGGAAGGCCAAGAAAATAATTTTAAGGTCGCCTATTGACGTCAGAGATCCTATGGTTGTGATATTGAGCACTTCTTACTCGAGTGATCTGAATTGTGCCTACAAAAAATTATATTTGGTGTGTTTGAACCTTTATTTTAGTTAATTGCAAAAACGTTACATAAACCATATCGATTTCGGTTTATTAAACCTTAATTATCTCGTATATATACAAACATATTTTTCTTAAACAAAGAAGTATTGTCGTCACTTGTTATTAATATATTATAAAAATTATCTGCCATACCCCCAAGAAAATTTAATTAGGTTTTTGATAGCATATGTTTAACGATAATTTTGTTCTTTGTTGTTTTTTCCAAAAAATGTATTTTTAATTTTTGCGCAAAAAATTACACTTTTTAATTAAAAAAAGTTTTTTTTTTCATTTTTGCCACAAACGTCGTTGTCTTGGCAAATACAAAAAATACACCCAACATTTATAAAGAATATATTCCATTAATATTAATATTACCTTAATTACATAACACCCTATATGTACATGTGTAGTTTTGTTCCATTGATGTTTTTTGTGTTGAGCAGTATATTTATATTTATTGCATGAGCCAACAATCAAAAAATGTTTGATCATCCGCCAAAACAGTGACAAACTTTTCCGTTTGTATTTCACGAAAGCCGAATATCGCTTCGCATTTTTTATACAATGTAACTCAAGGTCAGTAATTTGTAAGTGTTAATAAATAACTGGCGTAAATTTAATTTAGAGTGTATCTAAAACAATATCTCATTGTACATTAACAACAATTGTCGACAAATTTTTAAAAAGATTTTTTGTTCCAAATTTTCAAAATATGTAAAATTTTTGTAAATATTTCGAAAACTACGTTCAATTGTTTTTTTTGTTTTCACAATTTTAATCAGAAGAAAAAATGCCACCAATTTGCACAGTGTATATAAAATCTTATAAAACTAAAATTATAAAAAAATTAGAATATTCTGAAACTATTTATTTATATAATAATATATAATATAATAATATTTAATTTTATAATAAAATAGAAAATATTTTTTTATGACCCATCTACATCAATAATTATTGTTGAAAAATTATTTTGTTTCTAAAAAGATAATTTTCTTAAAATTTAAATTTAACACATTTGTTATGGTCGTTTTTTCCACAGACTTTAAAAACCCTGTATATAATATATATATTGTTCTATAAATATAATATCATAACAAAGACTTTTAAATCTTCCTGAGCACAGTTTTATAAATTAACATACAATAGTTAATAAAAAACCATTTTTCGTTGTAATGTTTTTAATAAAATAAATAAATAATACAACGGCTGTTAAATCGATAATAAAGGTACATTTTGAGGTTATAAGGGACACCAAACACTCACTAAAAATACTCACTGTTTAACTTAGGTGTGGACGGGACTCGTGGAAATTTCCTCCACAAAGTCCAAGACGGCATTTTTCCTAAATTATCCACCAGAAAACCCAATTATTACAGCGGTTTGTTTTGTTGTTTTATCTCAATGTTTTGCCGGTGAATTCTGATAACTGATCATAGCGAAATGCGCGCGATAGAATGGATATTTTAAGGGACATGCGCAACGCTTACCTTTACCTTAATTGTTGTGCGCGTTATTTTGAAGGCTCGCTTCTAGAATTTTCCGGATTAAATTTATTGGAATATGAATTAAGGGACTTAAGATGTATAAAAATGTTTTATTTCTGTCTAAAGCCTTGTTTCTTATATGGTTTAGATATTTAACAATAAATACATAATAAAAAAATGTTTTGTTTAGATTATTGAGATAAAATGGTAATATACCGAGTGTACAAAAAAAGCCTCAAATGCAAGTTTAAACAAAACAAAAAATCAAAGTAAATTTTCTTAAAGAACCCCAATTAAATTTAATAAAAATAAAGTAATTAATAAAAGATATATGCATGTATATAAATATTTTTAAAAAATAAATATTTAAAAAACCAAGGATATAAACCAATATATGATAAAAACGATAATAATGATAATAACGTTTAAAAAAATAAAAAGTTAAAATTTGTTGTTTGTTATTTAATTTTCTTGACACAAAATGTCAAAAAATATATCTGTCAAACCGCAGCTGTCTTACTTACACCCTTTTTAAATGTGCGATAAACACACTGTTGCTGCAACAGTGTTGCCAAGTCTTATACAAGAAATAATATCACTATATTGTCACTACATGATTTGATATCATACTGTTATCATGTTTTTATCAGATTTTCTTATGTTTTAGGCAGATATCATAATGATTTAATATTGATGTATATATAATACCCGTTTTTGTTTTTTTACCGTTGAGTGGAGACTTTCTTAATCAAAGCTGTTTGAATTTAAACGACCTATTTATTTTATGATTTTTACTGAATTGAAATGTTTACACTTTTTACGTATATCATTACTAAAATGTATATTTATTGTATCTTATATGTCAGAATAATGTCATTATATAATTTTATCTGTCATTCTGATATCACTTAGGGGTCCTAACTTCTGACATCTGCTGGTGATATCATATCATCAATAATGTTAAGTAGATATTGACATACCTACTTTAATTTAATATTTTTTAATTTTTTTAAATTTATTTAGTTTTCAAAAACTGGTTTTGTACTTGGACGGTAGACAGACATTACATCTCACCGCTGTAGCTGTACATGTTTGCCTACATAAGGGTTTTGGCAGCGTGTTTAAACCTTGTTTTTTTATTTAAAATAAATCAATAACGAAATTTAATTAACATTATGATATAACCATTTACTCAATGATATAACATTAAATTAAATCAATTTTGCTATTTATCAACACTATTTTCAAATTTACTTACTGGAAAAAATATACTATACTTCAATGGATACTAAGATATTCATTGATTAAATTTATACAATTAATTACTTAAACCATAGATAACGTAACAATAGACTGTTATGGCAAAATAATTGTTTTAGTAAGATATATTATTTACATCAATTTAATATAGGTACTTACTTTTTTCTGTATGTTGTTTTTTTATTTCTAAAATAATGAAATATTGTTTTATTGTTTTTTTTTTGGATATAAAACTAACCTTTTTCTGGTGGATCAACTACATTTTCTTCTAAAAAATAATTAATTTTATAAATAAAAACTTTGGGAAATATATTGCTTACCTAAGCTGGTTTCACTGGTTTTGTCAGAATCGGACATTACTGATCATTTTTTAAAAATTTTATTAACTCTTTATTTTCATTTGGTTTTTAAACCCTTGTCAAAAAAATTGTCAAAAATGAATTTGTAGAATATTATAGTAAACAGAAAATGTTATTAATAAATTTAGGGAAATTAAGGAAAAAAACAGCGATATACAAAATTTGACGTAAGTATTTCAAAATATATTTATATTCATGATTAACACACTCTACATAGGCAACCCAAAATACACGTTTATCTCATCGTATGCTCTATATTGATTATTTTGTGTTTACCTTCTTTACATTCAATGACATTAAATCAATGTTATTCAAAGAATGACCCCATGAAATTATTTTAGTTTACTATTTACGTCATTGCTATAGGTTATAAACCATGTTTTTGTGTAGATGGGAAATAGCGTAGTGGTGAGGCCTCGACTTGTAAGAATGACCCATATCGATAGTGCGGACATTGGCAGGGTACTTACTAAGTAAGTAGATTTTATTTTTTATATTTAGGTAGTTCTTTTTTCACACATACATGTACCCTTCAAAAAATAAATCAGTATTTAACAACAATTAAATCAAATCAAATTAAATTGTCTTACAATTATACAGGGTGTCTCATTTAAAAAATGTTATTTTTGTGAATATTTAGAAAATCTGACGTTCAATTATTTTTCTGTATTTATCATTAAAATCAGAAGAAAAAAAATTATAATCATCATTTATAATCAAAAAATGTATTAAGTTTTAAGCAATTTTAAGTACTATGCTTTACACATCAAAGTCCCACCACGTGACTTTGATAGAACAAATTAAGGTTATTTTCGTCACAAACCACACAACAAGGTCTGTTCTATCTCATGCTAAAAATACTAAAAATCAGTGCAACACTGCACAGAGCTTAAATGCGGCCATTTTTGTTGTTTACAATTCTTGTGCTTTGGGTTTGTGCTGTTTAATAATTGTTTTAAACGTTGGGTTTCTTACAGAGGCACTTGTAAGCCTCAAATAAGGCCTTTAAGAGCTAAGGACAACCATTTTACTCCTCTTTTATAATAAATATACCTTATTCTATCAGGGCTGTCAAATGACAATTTGAAGGTTAATTTGTGGGTTATAATTTAACCTTAAAATTGACATTTGACAGTTTTATGACAGCCCTAATAGAATAAAGTTTATTTTTTAAAAAAGAGGAGTAAAATGGTTGTTCTTAGCACTTTAAGGACTCTTTTATGGACATTTTTGGAGTAAAATAGTAACGTTTTTGGTTTAACAAATATTAAATCTATGTTCTAAAACCTGGTAAGGTTAAGCCAACCCTATTTCCATAAAAAAACATTTTAGGTACATGAACAATACCAAAAACTTGGCCCTGCTTTTGGATTACGATGGAACCCTTACCCCAATTGTTAACCAACCTGATATGGCGGTAATACCTGAGGAAACCAAGGCCATTTTGGAAAGGCTCTCAAATGTTAACACCTTGTTTATGGCCATAATTTCCGGAAGGGCAGTGGACAACGTTAAAAACCTAGTAAAAGATACATAATACAATTTTTGTTATAACTATCCCAAATAACTCCTTAGGTGGGAATAGATAACATACATTACGCTGGAAACCATGGCTACGAGATCATGGCTCCAGATGGCTCCAAGTACCTCCACGAAATACCAACAGAGTACAAAAAAAAAATGCGCGACATGGTGGAAGAACTGAATGCAAAAGCCTCAGACAACGGAGCATGGGTTGAAGATAAAATCTACTCCATCACATACCACTTCAGAGCTGTCCCGAAAGTTCAGCAAAGTCAGTATTTGGAGAATGCTAAGAAAATCATGGAGCCCTATGGTTTCCATGTGTCGCAGGCCCACTATGGACTGGAGGCCAAGCCACCCATCAAATGGGACAAGGGAGAAGCCACTTTGAAAATTTTGAACGAGAACTTTTCTGGCGACTGGAAAAAGAGTGTCAAAGCTATTTTTATTGGGGATGATACTACCGATGAAGATGCTATGAGGGTGAGAATTCAAGTTTTTATTTGAAGAGAATGTAACCAGTTCTAATAAAACATTTGTCCTGATTTTGCTGTTAAAGAAGGAAATAAAATAATTGTTTTTAGGTTCTAAAAGGACATGGTTTATCATTTAGGATAGCTGCTGATGGTGATGTTGACACTTGTGCTGATTACGTTCTAAGTAATTTGGACCCAGTGATGGTTATTTTGAGGTGGTTTGATAAATATTACTGTGGAATGTAATTTAAATTATATTTTATTTTTAAATAATAAATATTTTTTTCACCACAAAAATATTGTTTTATTTTTTGTGTTACCAAAACTGTTTTTATCAAAAATAATAGAAACAATTTTGTTTAAATGAAAGAACATAGTGAAAATGGCAAAATAGATACCTACAACCTTAAAAAAATCAATACAAAATACCTACAATGTAGAAATTGACAGAAATATAAAGTATGCAGGTAGAACATAGGAAAAATCTATTATGGATAAGTCAAGCCTATGGCACTGATTACAAGAGGGCGCTACATGTATTAGAATTGGAATTAACGATATAAAATTACATCTCAATTAACTAATAGCATTGATTAAAACAATAATAGTTTAAAAATAAACAAAAACATTATCAATTATCAGTTACGTGGGACCAAATATATAGGGTTTTCCAAAAATGGTTATTTAAAGTTCCAAAAAATGTACAGTTTTACTTTAACAAACTTTATCAAGACATAATAAGTTGAAATTAAATATTCTTTACCACAGTAGCAACATTTAACAATTTTTTTTAAGCGTTTTTAATTAAAATCGGGATTTTTCGATAAATTTAAAAAAATGGCGAATGCACCGGGATTAATTATTAAAAATTGTTTCATAGTCCATTTTTTCTTCATTTAAAAACACTTTTTGGTCAAATTTTATTATTTTTTGGTTTAAATCTAGATTTGCACCACAATAGTATCAGTAGTAGTAGAGTAAATTATTGTATGTTACATTGAACGCAAAAATTCATCCCTACAATATGCGACAATTGTAAAAATTTATTTTTTCTACTCCCACCTTTAAAACGCCCTTTATTGTACATGTTTCCATGACACTAAGTGACCTTTTAAATACACATTGACAAGTTGTGGCTTTATGGCGCTTTAGTCACGGGCTGAAGTTAGTTTTAAGCAGAGTTGGGAGTACTGAGTATTTTTTTTAATGGATTATGCTATCATTACTAATTATTACTTGATTTTATAATTGTAATGAAAGAAAAATATTGAGTACTTTTTATTTTTACTTTACCAATTTGATAATTACAATTCTTTTTTTATTTTGTAATTATAATCAGAGAAAATATTAAGTACTTTTTATTTTAACTTAAAATGTTTACTGATTCCAAATATTTTTTTATTTTATTTGATAATTTTAAAATTACAATTTTTTTTTATTTTGTAATTATAATCAGAGAAAATATCAAGTACTTTTTATTTTAACTTAAAATGTTTACTGATTCTAAATATTTTTTTATTTTATAATTAAAAAATAATAAAGAAGAGAATACATTATATATTTTTTTTTTATTTGATTAGAATGGTGAATAAGGATACTTCCGTGCTTGTTTATGTTTTTATTGCGACTAGTTTCGATCTATATTAGATCATCTTCAGGCAAACTACAAAAATATGTAAAATTATTATAAGGTTATGTTAATGATAAAATAGACCTATCCCATAAAACAGACTTTTGGATAGCGCGTGCCTGAAGAAGAGTGGTATCTCTTTCTCTTTTATGTAATTAAAAAAAGACGACGTGCCTTTTCACGCACGCGCTATCCAAAAGTCCGTTTTATGGGATAGGTCTATTAACGCCGTGTCTAGAGTCCCGTCAGACGGTTTCCTATTGCGCTCCCGTTAACGTCATCCAATGACGCAATCTTAGGACGGGAAGCAGATATTTTTTCCTTAACTAACGTCCCGAGTCCGCCCGCTTCGAAACCAACCCAAACCAAACAACCCAACCGACCCCGTATATACAGTATTTATAATTATTAATTAGATTTTGTTTTTTATTTTCAGTCGGTCCCGTTAAAAAATACTTCGTACTTGTATTTTCATTTATATTTTAAGTACAATCAATTTTTTACTTTGACTTTAAACTTTTTGCATTACGAAGTACTAAAAAATATTATTTATTCAAATCAATAAGTACAATTATTTTTGTATTTTTACTTTAAATCAATTTAGAGTAAAAAATACAATGTATTGATAATTTTTATTTTCTCCATTCTCAAGTAACTTAAATATTCTGATGGCAATACTTTTTAAGTACAAATTATTTTTGTATTTTTATTTTAAATCAATTTAGAGTGCAAAATACAATGTATTGATAATTTTTATTTTCTCCATTCTCAAGTAACTTAAATATTCTAATGGCAATACTTTTTAAGTACAAATCTCGCAACTCTGGTTTTAAGTTAGTTGACAGTTGTAAAATGTCATACAATCGTTAAAATAAAGTGCCTTTCTTGTAAAATAATACTAAATGTGAAAATTATTTTATTATCTCAATACAAAAATACAAAAGTATTAAATAGTTTCTCAACGCCAATATTTGAAAAGTTTATATGAACATTGTACTGACCTTTTAATTTCGCCGGCAGTAAACTATAACTTAAATTCGGGCACGGACTCTACTGTAAAGTCCTCATAAAACATTTCCTTTACTTTCACTGTGAAAAACTGTCAATTTTCAAGATACATTTCGATTTATAATTGTGTTTATAAAATTTAAAATGTGACATTTGACAGTTTCCCCTGTTGTTTCATAGATGGTGCTCTATACAAATTTTTGATTTAAATCATTTTAAGATAATAATAAGTATTTGTCGTAGAAAAAGTATAGTATGCACCTCGTTTATAAACTTTTCTATACACTCATTAACTTAAGCACTCGCTCGCAAGCTTGCTCGTGCCTAAATTAAATTCTTGTATAAAATGGCGTTTATCAAACTTGATACATAATATACTATTTACAATACATGGAATGTTATTAAATAGTATACAACCTTTTTAAATTAAATTGGTTAATTGAAACATTTTTTGTATTGTAATTTTTTGCCATTCCCTACAAATTTTTCCTTTGGTTATACCCTGTATGACAAGATAACAGAAGTTTAAAACATTTACATTTTAAAAGTTTTTTAATGAGATTTACTAAATTTCTCATTATCATCCATTTGGTTAAAATAAAAACCTTTAAAACATGCGGTGGCAAAATATAATTAGACAAATTATTTGGCACAAAAGTTAATTAAAATCTTACATAAGTTCGTAAAAAACGCGGTAGAAGAAAGGCATTAAATTAGAGGAGTTTAAATCGTTCCAGACCCAACAAAATGAAACAAGTCGAAAGTTTTCAATGAATGTCTAACGAGGTATTATTCTTCGCCATTTAACCTAATCATCATATCACTTTGTAAAGCGGAAATTTCTTGGCTTCGCAGAGCTCGACTCCGATGTCCTACATTCTATTTATTTATTTATTAAGGCGAGCATCTACATCAAAACGACACAATTCCATGCCCGAGCCTTAGCTATTTTCCCGCACCACATTTTATCGTTCTAAGCAACTTAATTATTAATTTACATTCATTTATCAAACAAGCATTTTAACTGTCAAGCTGAATCAACTTTAATAAATTACATACATGGGTGAATGTATTGAGATGCCCCCAAGTGAAAATTATTATTTTTTATTTTTGGTTGCTTCACTGTTAGTCTAGTAATACCATAACATAAGTGGTTCTGCACTAATGCAAGAATTTTAAGAAATCATACATTTTGAATATTTAAACTTCACGGAAGATAGCTTCACGGAGGTTAGGATTTCGTATGTTTTTGTATATTTGAAATAAGTTATTGTATCTTTTGACACCCTAATATTTTTTAAACATACAATTGTACATACATAAAATTTTTACGAAAAAAATCTACTTACTGAGATATTACACTTCACGGTGGATAGGTTTTTAAATAGCAAATAAATGAACTTAAACTTTTGAATTATAAAACAGCAACACTCTCATCTGCATATAAATTCTATCTAACCTTTACGAATCACATGCATCTATAATGTCGTAAACAGAGGTTCTTGCTTATTTAAAATGATTAAAGCGCCATCCGTTGCATAAAATTTAAAGCAAAAACAGATTCACGGAGGATAGAATCAATTTTTGTAACACCTACATAAATGGTTATAAAAATTATTTCTTATAATTTTTAATAATTTTTTATATTTGATTCGATTGCTTTGGATGTGCTTAATTTACTTAGTTTTAGTATGCTTTTACTACCTCAGATATTTGAAAACATATAGGTTAACCTAGAAAGAGTAACAGTCACGGAGGATAGGTTTTAGACTTTTAAAACATTGTAAAAAATAGTTTTATTAAATATCACAGGGGACATTTCTTGAGATTCACCCGGCTATAGCCTTATGTTAGATATTTTACCTTGACTCTCTAGCCTCGCAAAATTGCAGGAAATATTAAAAAATTCAATAAATTATAATGTATTGTAGACCAAAGATATTTTAATAATTTAGTGAAATTTCAATGGAAAATAAATAGCCGAATAATAGACAGTATATTACTAAAATATGCATAGTGCTTCTAGCGAATTCTGGACCAATGGATATGAAATTTCCCAGTTCTGCGAAATATAGACACTCTAAATTCCAAATTGGCTGGAGCATATTGTCGCAAAACGGGAGAGTCGAACAATGAAATTCGGATGTTTTATTTACACAAAGTAACCAGAATCTCTTTGCCAGGAATCAAATTAAACTAAATCACTTCTCTTAGTTTTCGAAACTTATGCCATGCGACAATAAACTTTTGCACAAGCCAGAAACTCCAACATTCAGCCTTATACAGCGTTGCATCATTAAGTTCGAAACCGGAGATATACGAGGGAAGGGGAAACCTACATCTAAAATCAACAGTTATATTTATTTAGATATGTGATGTGGAATGAGACAGTAAGATCTCTCATTCTATTGAAAGAAGCTATGATATAAAATCATCAAAAGAGAAATCAAGTACTTTGTAAGAAATTTAAATAAAATTGAAAAAAACAATATAAAACATAGTTTTTTTTAAGTGTACAAGAAATAAGACAAAACCAGGAAGTCAGCACGTAACAGAAACTCAAACTCTAAGAAATCAAGTACTGCAGAGTATACACTTAAAATAAATT